TGACAGAAATTTCCATCTGGCAACACTGCTCACATCAAATTTGAAGACCTACAAGCGTTTTTAATTGCGTTAGACGTAATTTGTAGTTATTTTATTTTGTAAATAGAGAATTACCTAAGGTCTTTTGTAAATTAAAATTTAATGATTTTAATTCAAATTGAGTCACAATAAATAACCCAACTAAAAATAGCACAATATACAGATATTCCTGCATATTTGTGTATTTTGTACGGTGTTAATTTGAGTAATTTATCATGTCGTCGAAACACAATAAGTAAAAACAGTCTTCAGCCACCGCCTTCTTCCTTTGAGGTACAAATTCTTCGCCGACATGAAAGTATCAAATGTATAACAATGACTCATTCGCAAAGAAACAATGGGCTGCTGAGAAACGGTTGTAGAAAATCATTTGTGTCAACAAATTATAGAGATAAATGACCGACTATGTAGTTTAAAACATCCTGTAGAAGTTAAAAGTAATTATTGTAAAAAAAATGTATATAACATTCAAAATAAACAAAAGAGTTAATTCTGAATCGAAATGTCAATTAATTTAGTAAATTATTGAAGATTTTGATATAATAAGTTGTAAATTTTTTAATACAGCTATCATTTCTTTCTGAACCCACATGGATATTAGCTATTCTAGGCACGGAGTACAGAACGAAAAAGTTCTACTGAACGAATATATTATTTCATATCCATCTTAGTAAGAACACTGGATATGAAATCAATCAATCACAGTTCGTATTTGGTCACCAGGCGACGATTTTTTAAATTTTAAATAAGTGAAAAGTCTGTCAAATTATGTCAGACCAATTATTTACCAGTATATTTTTTAGTTATTGAAATTAAATATAATTATAAATGAATGATTTTTGTGAAGAACTGATAAATAATTGCACTTTAAAAGATATTCCGGTATATACAAATAAATCGTAAATTTTAATAATACTATCTAAAATCAATTTAATTATGTAATAAAATTAAAAATTAAGTGTCTCGATAGAGCTGAGATAGAGTACTGAGTTGCCATTCGAAAGGTTCCGGGTTCAATTGGATAGGATTAAAAAAAATTAAATCAAATCTTTTTTTATATATTTATTTTATTTTCTTTAGTGGGTCGTAGAACAAATATACTGTACAATTCGAGTGGATTGTCCGTATCGCACTTATATCTACTCTTATTGCACAAACTGTTATTTTTATCTTTATTTTTGGACATACTTACTTGATATAAAAAGTGACGGAGTATTTGAATAATTTTACGTTTCACTTTTACGGGAACAGTTCTAATAACAGTAATAACGTTTTCCAATTAAATCACCATGAACTGAAAGCACGACTTGCCAATTTTAAATCAATAACTTTGTTATAATAAACAATGGGTTTATTAAATGTAAAAATAAAAATCGTGAAACATGAAAACTGAATATAATTGTTCCATCAATTTTACAGTTTTCTTCCATTATGGGAATGTTTGTTAGATTTTTTATAGAAAAATTTACAGTCATAAAATTTGTTTTTAATTTTGTTTAACAAGACTATTATTGTTTTTTTACAACTCCTACATATTCCTATATATTTTCGTTACGACGCCTATGTACGTCATTCCCGATAATGTAGATGAAATATTTATTATTTTATCTATGGTTTTACGATAATCAGTCACTGAACGAGAAACCCCCTTTATTCAACCTCAAGCGCCGCGACGTGGCCTATATAAACTTCTGTAGTCCGCGCCAGATTTAATATATACATTTTCAAAATTTAAGCATGCCATTAATTAATTAGAGTTATTTTTTGAAAATAATATATTATGCACATCCTATAAGAGTCTATGTCAAATTAAGGGGTGTATCTCAGAATATTTTAAAGGATATATAAAAAAAAAAAACACGCAAAGACATCGATTTTTATCCAAACACCTTTCTACCAACATATAATTTATGTTGAGATGTGAAAACCCTTACCTAGAATATTATAGAATATCATAAAACAGATATAAAGTTACAATTAAACTCAGGAAAGGTGGAATACCTACTCAAAAAAACTGTTATTCTATTAAAAGACGAAATATTTCATTTATTCAATCTTTTATACACCCTACAATTACCTAGACATAATTAGAGCTTATAGACAGACCTCAGACAGCACAAAGCAGGTAAAAGGGTACAGATAATCCATTAATGTAACCAGGGTTGTAATAAGATTATTTCATTTCCTGATTTAAGATGAACGAGTCTTGAACAATTACCCGTATCCCATGTAATCTCGTAAAAAAGAAATATAATGAAAATGGCTGTTCTTAGTGACTTTTTTGGCAACTTAAATATCAATTCTATCAAATATAAAAGTGAAATTGTTTTACGGTTATCATTGATTAATGTTACTTTTAGCCAACTTTTATATACCAAAATACAGTATACATATTCAATTATTTTTTTTAATCTATTTTATTAACACCCTCGAAAAATCGAAAAATCAAAAAACCGAAAAAGAAATTCCGTAACGAAAATAAACCCCCACTCTGACCGGCACAGCGGTGCGGCGTTGAAAGCCGTGCATCGTCTAACGTCGATTCAGTTCGGCAGACTTCGGCACGGTGTTTGTGTGCGTGCGACTAGACGTATGCATGTAGACTAGCTGCTAACTGCTCATAACTGATTCTATCTCTTTTAGACACAATTTCGGAAAAATTTAATTTGAAAATGAATGATGATCCACAAGAATCCACAACAAAATATGGGACCACCATTGACGCGGTATTTTGCACATATTTAGAGGATATCAAGTCTCAAACTTATGTTTCTTATTTCAGTTACCATAACCTACATGTATTGTAAGATAATAAAAATATTTTAAACAATATTAACTTCTCATTTAGTCAATAAAAGAAAAAAAATTTTCTTATCAGTCACCATGCTCAAAAAGTGTAACTTGAATTAATATCAAAGAAAAAACTTGAATTAATATCAAAGAAAAAAAAATATTGCATAAATAAAATAAATAAATAAATAATTATAATTGCATAAGTTGATAAAAAATGATATACAATAGCTTTACCGCGACAGTCCCCGAGTGTCACACGTATTTTTTTTTTTAGTAGTTATGTAGTACTTCAAGAGCCTAAAAATGTGGTGAGGTTGTTTTTAAAAAGAAGCTTTATAAATCAAGGTGCTCTGCTGGATCCATTTGAAGCTAGCAAAGCACCAGGTGTTTTTTAAAAAATACATTTTTTTTTTTAGAAAAATGTTAAATTTCTAGGGACTAAAAATAGCTTAAAAATGTGGTGTAAGTAGTTGTTTCAGAAAAAAAATTGAATTAATAAACAAAGGCACTCTGCAGACTTTGTTCCAACAAAGCACCCTGTATTATTTAAAAATAGCAATTTTTAGTAGTGTTATAATATTTCAAGAACCTAAAAATACCTAAAAATGTGAAGTTGTTTTTTGGAAAAAGCTCTTAAAAAACTAATGTACTCTGCTGGGTTCTTTCGATTTTCTATAAATGCTATTTTTATGAAAAAATTAATATTTTAAGAGCCTAAAAATATGGTGTTGTTTTTATAAAAAACGAGGAGCATAAAATTTTTGAATAGAGTAAAAAAATAGCCTTAAAATAGCCTAAAAATATGGCATAAATTTAAAGTCAAACATGGGTTAATACCATTGGTGATTTATTGACCACCATCGAACTCATTGCTAAAACTGGGGGCTGTTGTCACACTGGTACCTATGTTTAGTTTTGAAGGAAATTCGTAGGCATATCAATGAGTCCACATGGTTTAGATATCAAAAATAACAGTAATTTTTTGAGTATTAAAAAAAACTGTTTCTTTAGACTTCTTTAGCTCTAGGCACACTTCATGAATTTTTATATATATTAAAATTAATGGCAGGAAGTAGGTAGGTATATTTTTCCCACAAGCTATGTTTAAATTATATACAACAGATTTCTAAGAGTTAAAGGTAACCATAATATATGCATATTGAAGTAGTAGGTACCTAAGAATCGTTGAATAAACAAATTAGGTTTTACAAATTACTATTAGGTTCAAATAAAGAAAAATTTAAAACATAATTTGAAATTCTGTCCCTATTAGTATGGGAAACCACAAAGACTGCTTAATATTTTTAATAACCCTAATAACCACAGAACTTGAAGACTTTTTCAAAAAATTCAGTTCAAGGGCACTATTAGTTAATAAATTTCTATTCAGAATGACACGCATTATGAATTTCACTTTTTTTTCCTATTTTTTACAACCTAAATGACATTTTTTAATTAGACAGTCAGTCACGTCTTTAATATAAATAAGAAGGTTGACAACGTAAGTGTTTGGCGGAAAAGATTACATGATTGCACATTACATACCCATTTTACATAATTATTTACCTATTATTATTTCTTCTTTGAGTTACAGGTCTAGGTTACTTTTGTTGTTAAACAAAAGACAATTTTATAAATGTATTTTTATGAAGGACACAATAAATAAATCTTGAATATTAAACACTTTTTTATAGTGAAAAACAAAGCAAATAAGTTACTTATTATTCTACCTTTAAATTATTTAAATTGTCTTAAATTTTTACATTTTTCAAGTGTTAATATGTAGATATTAGAGGAATTTTAAGAATCTCATTCAGTTCGTTGGTGAATTTTATACTTATTCTTATATTAGCATAAGTACATGGATTCAATTAGAACCGCACGTTTCTTAATTTGAAAAGCAAACAAACTTTATTGGATTATCTATATTATCGATTTTCGCAATTAAATTCGCAGTGGATAAATTGTATTAGTCTGAAACGTTACAGCAATGATTAAAAATGCAAAATAAGGTGGTCAACCTTCTTAAAGGCATAAGAACCGTGAGTCATCGACTTCTTAAGAAACCGTTGCTTGCAGATCGAGTAATTACATTTCTTTAATTCCGACCCTTCCATAACTATAACTTATAATAAACAAATAAAGTTTCTTAACAACACTCGACTTACCTATAAACAAAAAGAAATGTCTCACTATCCAGTTATCCATAAATTCCATTGTTTCCTACAACAGTCCTTATTTTTCCGTGTAAATTTTTTCTAAGCATTTACAGACAAACTCGAGCATTATTATTTCATTCACCACACAAATTTTTAAGACATTTCCGAAAACGTAAAAATAAATAAATATAAAATAAAAAACAAAACAGCAAACAGCGGGCGACACACAACACTGCCCACCTGCAAACTGTCACCTGTAAAATTCTGAATTTTAGCTGTCAGACAAGTGCAAAAAGCTTTGCGCACACGCAAATTATTTGTAGGCGCTTGGCGCAACACTTGACCTTTTTACTGCAAGTTACAGGCAACATAAAATACACTCGTGTATAAAATATTGCCTAGATTTATCGTATTGAAGATTTATTGTTAGTTTAGGCCAGACAGTACCGTAATAGGTGATTTTTGAGATTGTAATATGAAAGTTTAAAATTTGTAATAGAATATTACGTAATATTGTAATGAAGATATTCGATAGGTAGAAAATAATAGGTTTTTACCTAGTGTTAATAAGGGATTATTAAAAAAGACAGATAGCAGGATAATTATGGAGTGATCACAGTATGCTACTACACATTTTTTTAATAAATGTAATATTTTACTATATTTCTAAATGGTTATTGTTCTTAATAGAACAGTTGCGCCAATTTTTAATTAAATCAATATTACAAAGGAATTTTATACAACAACAAAGAAGGCGAGAATAAAGTTAATAAAATTACGATAAGTCAAAAACGAAAAACGATAACCATTTAAAATTTTCTGGAAAAATCAAGCTCTATAAGGGGACGAAGCATATTGATGGGGGTCGAGAGGGGTTGAAATATTTTAAAATATCCTAAGTCAAAAAAAAAATGATATTCAACTTGAAATTTTTAGCAAAAATCAAGTTCTATAAGAGGAGCTTCTTCTTTTGAAAAAAAAAAAAAAAAAAAAAAAAAATACGTTCGCACTCGGGGACTGCCGCGGTAAAGCTATTGCATAGCATTTTTTATCAACGTATGCAATTATAATTATTTATTTTATTTATGCAGTATTTTTTTCTTTGATATTAATTCAAGTTACACTTTTTGAGCATGGTGACCGATAAGAAAACAATTTTTTTTTCTTTTATTGAATAAATGAGAAGTTAATATTGTTTAAAATATTTTTATTATCTTACAATACATGTAAGTTATCCAGGAATTTTTATCATTGAAACTATAGGTTTATGGTAACTGAAATAAGAAACATAAGTTTGAGACTTGATATCCTCTAAATATCTGGAAAATACCGCGTCAATGGTGGTCTCATATTTTGTTGTGGATTCTTGTGGATCATTATTCATTTTCAAATTTTCCGAAATTGTGTCTAAAAGAGTTATGAGCAGTTAGTCTACACGCATACGTCTAGTCGCACGCATACAAACACCGTGCCGAAGTCTGCCGAACTGAAACGATGTTAGACGATGCACGGCTTTCAACGCCGCACCGGTCGGAGTGGGGGATGTTAGGTTACTTTTCGTTACGGAATTTCTTTATTCGGTCGCCGCGCTCCAAGCCCGCGATAAAATCTATGCAATAGCTTAATAATGAAATAGTTAACACTGATAAAATAAAAATTAATATTTTATAAATCTTGCAAAAAAAATTAATATCTAATATTTATGCTAGCCGGGAACATTTGTGATACCAATTTATTAGAAGCCAGAGAAAGCTCTTCTAGTTCTTGTATTGCATAAACGTTCCAGTCCGCAGACGTATATTTAACTCCGCTTCAACTAATACGAATAGTCGGATAAAACCTTCCACGGCTTTCAACGCCGCACCGCTGTGCTGATCGGAGTGGGGGGTGTTAGGTTTATTTTCGTTACGGAATTTCTTGATTCGGTCGCCGCGCTAAAAGCTATGCAATATCTTAAAAACTGATTAAAAATATGGGGGTTAAAATTAAAAAAAAAAAAATCAAAAACGATATCAACATGAAATTTTTAGTAAAAATCAAGCTATGAAGAGTATCATATAAAATGCAAAACATATATATCTTTATTCTAGTTTATATACAAATTTTGCATTCTTGATAGTCTCAAGTGCAATTTAGTAGTTCCTAGAATGGCGTATCCACCAAATTTTAGAAGTCGACGGTTCACGACGTGTACCATAAGCGGCTCATAGAGAGTGTTGGATGTTGACCTGTTTGAGGCCGCAAGAGTTCCAAATAAGGCAGAGAGGGACTTAAGGGATTAGAGCAGGACAATTAATAAACATGGCGAAGGTAACACATTTCTTTATTTCTATAATAATACAAGTGAGGCGGACTAGTCTGAAAAGTTGACTAGTCCAAACACACATTCGCGAAATTATATTAACTGATTTGTCTGAATTTCTTATAAAAAAGGCAAAATATATTTTAAAAAAGAAGAAACCATAAATGATTATAGGTTTTAACGATGTTTTCGAATTTTTATTTAATATTTTATTAAAATAAACACAATTATTTTACAAAATGATTTGATCAAAAAAAAAAACGAAAATACAAATTTTGTTTTCAAAGTGTTTCTGAAAAATCATCCAAGTTCGACCACTTTTCATTACTTTTCAAGAATTTTCCGGACATGTCCGTCGGACTAGTTCGAAAATTACTTTTCATGAAAAGTCCCATCACTAATATTTACAGATCTAACACAGATTTAAAGTTATCCAAGTTTAAAAAATATTCTGCATACTTTTACACACTTCTAAAAAAATATAATTATTTTAGTTATGTAATAAAAAATTAAAAATAATCCAAATTTAAAATAAAATGAAAACTAATAGAAACATAAAAATATCTTCAAACCAACGGTTTAAAAATACTGTCAATCATGTATTTCTGTGTGTCATTTTTACTTTTAATATTACTCGATAATAAGTAATGCTAAAATTTTAGTTCAAGAAATATAAGACAATGAATAAAAAATGAATTTTTTGTAGCTGTAAAAAATAAAGAAAAAATTACAACACAATAATATACGATTGACACATAGATTGATATCATGATACATTAATACAGAGGTATGATATTTAAACGACAAAAACTGGGCTAGTTCAGGGATATATACGTAAGCAAGAGAGTAAATGGTAAATTTATCCACATCCCATATCGCTAATTTGCAAGAACAATGACACAATTGAAAATAGTCGATGTTTATAGTTAATTTAATCTTAGGTTTAATAAAAAATACAAATAATCATCACAAATAGGCCTCCTTCAGACATCGGTCATTATTCTTGAGATTTAGAATTACTTACGCCATTATTGTCTAAAAATAACTGGACCTCAGAAAAAAAACAATAAAATACATTATTTGATAAAAAAATAAGACTAAATTATGCTTCTAAAACATGGGACGAAGAAATTTTTTCGAAATATGTCAATATTCTTAAAAAATATCACGAATTTTGTGGTATAACCCTATAAATCGTCTGTGTTTATGTAAATAGAGCTTTGAAAACGATGCTGTAACTAAAATGAACCAATATTCATTATACCCATTAGGCTTGTCTCAAACGAATTATAACGCTATCTCTGTTGGCTAGAATTCGTTATTCCGTCATTTTACATGATAAAATTTTAATTGCGTCGGTATTCTCGCAAACAAGTGATATTTATCCAACACGATTTACTCAGTGCACTCTTTATATGTTCTAATCGTACAAGCATTCATTTTTTACCAAAACTATATCACCCAATATGAAAATCATCTGCTTGAAAATCATTCAGAAAAATATAAACTAAACACTAGTAATAGAAAAATCCTAACATAGATCTAAATTTAAATGTGAGTCATATAAAATCAATTTATAAAAAATGTACTGCTTAATTGGCACAAGATCAAAATTACCAGTACTTACATAACAAATTGCTCATCTACAAGTAATTTTTAAAAGCTGTATGGACGACTCTTGGTGTACAACTGGGGTTGTGCTATCTTAAAATATAGACTGTTAAAGAAATCCAAATATATGCCAAATAAACAAAAATCTAGGCTTCAAACACATGTAAACATCGAGATGCTTCAGATCCTCAGACATCATGAAATAAAAAGAAGATAAAGAGGACAAAACATTCGTATCTATTATGAATTAATAGTGGAAGTATTTAAGTATAAAATCAAAACAAATTTAAACGATACAATTTTCTTAACATATAGTTAATTTAGCTTAGAAAACAAATATATATGACTTATATACTCTCTGGCTTACCGTGAACAGATCTATGAAATAAAAATCATACACTTATTTTTTTTAGTATCATGATTAAACCTAGACAGCAACTGTTTATTTCTTTTGAACGTTTTGATAAAATCCATTTTTAGCATCAATCTTAATTCTTTGGACGATCTCTTCTATGACACCGGGCGTGTCCTCTCTGTACTCGCCTCTCTTATGATCTGGTAAAGGCTGCTGAAATAAATTCAAGTTCAAACAAATATCTGTACCAACCAAGTAATATCGGTCGAATATATACACACCCTTCTAGTCTGGTTTTCCTGTTGTCTTGGAGCCCTCGGTACGCTGCTATTTGCGGGTTCTCCGCCGCTCTGAGAGAACTGTCCGATTCTTTTTCTTTCCTCGAGCCTGAAATTGCGCCTTTTCGCAGCTGAAATTACATCCTTGTGACGAATAATCTCGTTGGACATGCAATATTTTTCAGGATCGTAACTAGCAACATTGTCCTTCAAAAATAAACAAAAAATAGATTGATCAAAGTTCGAAAAAACAGAGGAGTATAATAAAAAACTTACATTGTCCCAAGATTCTTCAGTTGCCACATGTATATTGACGATTGGAAATTTATCTAGATCTGTTTTGGTATCTTGATAAACAGCAATTTCGATCTTTTTCCTGTCAGGACAAGTTTCATGATGATACTGAAATATAATATCAAAATTGTATTTTTTTTTTTTATTTCCTTTATTTAGCTAATTTGCTAATATCACAATATACAAATTTAGTAATAAATAAAAACATAGATAATACAAAAAATGTAATTAAAACTAACTAATCCTGCTACTATTTCTGGAGAAATATTCGTTAATTAAATAATCTGTGACCTGGATTTTAAATATAGTTAGATAAATTTAACGAATGAAAAAATAACTTTTTTAAAAAAAAATTATTTTACTTTACAATATACTTTGATAAAAAAATAAGGAATGACAATTTTTACAATTCAACATATATTGAAATCCGACAACCGGAGGTTGATAATTAATTTAAATAATTCTTATACATATATTACATATTATATTCAAATTTTTATTTCGAATTCAAACAACATCCCAGCATATCCCGACTCGTAGGCGCCGTTTAATTACTTCTGGGAAAAGAAATCGACGCATAAGCTGTAACGGCCGCTAGCTAAAGGACCAGATGTAAGCCGATAGGGCTATATTCAGGAATTAATACAGGGCTTTATACTTAGTCTTTATGCACCGAACTCACAGTCGTTCCCTTTCCGATACATTGGCATATATGGGAAATTTAAGTATAAATACCCGGGTTTTTGTGGGCTGGGGGACATTAGCTTTTTCTTCTTCACCGAGTCAAGTTAACAAAAAACGCAAATATCCACGTTACCTTTACGGTGACTTCTTTTTCTTTATATTCTTCAAATATAATTAAAAAGAGATATCGCTACCCTTATGGTGGCTGCGATTTTGTTATATTTTGAGAACGGAAATAAAAGATATCGACAGAGTAGAGAAATTAGTTTCTATAAACGACGGCTTCTGCATAGATATCCAGTTGTCCTTTGTACATATCCACAAATCTTTAGCGGGACATTACGCGGAAGTAGTCGGTATGTTTGTTATTTATTTAGAATAAATAGGTGAAATTGTGTTTGTGGACTAGCTTCTGTGATTAATAACACTGATTTGTCAATCGCCAGAGCAAAAGAGCATCGCGCCGAAAAAGAAGCCTTAGGCCACCATAGACCACCAGGGACCTCAATAGTAAGGGCCAAAACATGGTATTTCCCTTGCGGCTATGTAAATTAAAGCCTGATAGAGGCTTGGATGGATCTTTACTGAGATACCCCAAAAGTGGGCCTGACGGGCATCCCCCTTTATATCATGTGTTCTCCGATAGACCATTCAGTGTTTTCCATTCAGGACTGAGTATGTCAGTAAAGGCGTAACGCACGGTGAGGTAAATCTACACTCCGGTTTTTACACATGTTACAAACATTATTTTATATTTCACCGAACTCCCCGTGCTACCGCTGTACTCTCTTTTATTAGACGATGCGTAATTCAGTATTTCCCTGGAAAGGTGTGATTGTATATTAGGAGACAAACAAATATACCAAAGTACTTCCGACTTTTATTTAATCCTTTTATGGGAACTAAAAGCTCTGAGGTTAGAAATGATACATTGGAAAGCCTACATAAACATAATGTTAAGCCTAAAAACGGCACATAATCTAAATATCAGGCTGTACAAAAGAATAGATGTTAAATAAACAGTATTCCAAATTAATCTCGGTGTTTCCTTTGTTCTCCCTCCATTACAGCTACATTGAACTCTAAACGTAATTCTGGGGGTTTTAACATCACTTCGTGGGGATCCACTAGATGAAATTTAGGCCAAGGTTAAGGGTATTTGGAAAACTAGGTTAGGGACCGGTTTGTCAAGTTACAATATAGTTTGCCAGTGCTGACACAGCAGGTCGAAGACCGATTTGCAATCTTACATTTAGAGTTCACATATTTAGTTACAGAATTTACACTGTGTGGGAGTGCGTTGTAGAGATATAGATCTTTAAAAAATAATGAATTTTGTGCTGTACTTTTAACAACAGTTTCAATATAATAGTTATTTCTGTTCTGCGTTGGATATTTGTGCACATTAGAGTGATAATAAAGCTTCTCTTTTAGGTATATTGGAAGTAACCCATGTTTGATTTTATAAAAAAAATAATGTATTCCTTGATAAAAGACTTTTGATTGGCATCCAATTCAAACTTTCAAGCATTAGATTAATGGGAGTATATTTTGAGCAAGATAATATTATTCGCATTGCCCTATTCTGCAGCGTTTACAGTCGGTTCAACTCATTATGATTTAGAAAAAAAGAGTATTGTAGAACAATAATTAAAGTGAGATAAAATGATAATGTTATATATAATTTATTTAGTCCACTTTGATAAGCCAATGAACTTCTACATAGGAAATTTAACTTAAATTTAATACTTTTGATGACAAAGTTGGCATAATCTGTGAATTTCATCTATTTGTCAATCATTGCCCCTAAGTATTTGAATTTTTCTACTAATTGTATAGAATTTCCTTCAATTGTGATGTATTGTTTTTCAATAAATTGCACATAGCCATAATTATTACTTATCAGCATACATTTTGTTTTATTTGTGTTGATTTTTAACAAATTATTGCAACATCATTTATAAACATTTTACAAAGTTTCATTAAAAACTCTTACTAAGTTATCTGGATCCTTACAAGAAAAATATTTAAAGGTATCATCAGCAAACATGTGAATGTCACACTAACCCTTGACTTCAACCATGTCATTGATATAAACTAAAAATATCAGAGGTCCTAATGTGCTTCCCTGTGGAACTTCTTTTGGCAGTGGCGGCGATAAGGCCCCTGCAGAGTGGGGGATCCGCAAGGACGTATTTACGGGGCGGGTTTTAGGGGTTAGAACACTCCAAAAAATTATTTATCAAATACTAGAGTTTAGGAAAAGTAAAAAACTCAGAAAAAAGTAAAATAAACATTAAACTTGAAATTGTTTAGATAAAAATTAAAAGAAAAGATATATTTCGAATTAAATCCCAAAATAAAAAATCCAAAAAAATCGCCAAAAAATTAAAATCTAAAAATCCGCTAGAGTAAAAAAATCTGGCGATTGGCAACACTGGATTGAATTATGAATACAAGCGTAACAGCGTAGATAAATTTTCACATAGTGCAAGGCGATTTTAGTTGGTATTTTATTTTTTTTTATTACTTATTAAGTTTTTTTTTACAATATTTTCTATATTTTTTGCGTTATTTATATTTTTTAATTTTATGACGATAATAACAATTAGCAGTGGCGGATCTAGAGGGGGCCAGACTGACCCGGACTCCTATCAAACCTCATATTTCGTATGTTTTCTCTTTACGGTTGATTCACATTTATCTCCTTCTTATATATGTATTGTATGGTCCCCCCAAAAAAACATGTCTAGATACACTACTGACAATTAGTACTTATATTATTACATAATTTTGCGAGGGGGACGGGGCTAAATGTTTACCGCCGCCACTGCCTTTTGGTATAGTTAATTTCTTCTGATATGATGTTATTTACTTTTAACCTTTGTTTCCTCCCAAGTAACATTTTTAGATTTATCAAAGTATACAAGGTTACCATAAAACCCTTTTTAAAGACACTGATAAAACTTTTGAATCCGCGAGATAGCCTTAGAGCTACTATAAATCTGCTTAAGAGTAGAAGGGAGAATCCTATAACGGTTCTTAGGAGTATTTTTAAAACAATATCTTAAAACTAATTAGACCTAAGACAAAGTTCGTAAGAGTATATTAAGAATTTTGTTAAACCATTTTTAAATATTTTTTAAGATTATGATAATTAGTGGGATAAGCATAAAAACTTTACAAAACTAATCAGTTTTAAGAGAATTAAATTTTAAACTGTTTTAGCTTTATTCTGTGTTTTCATACTCTCTGAGAGAATCACACCAATGCTTGCTCTACTATACCCATACTTTTTCATTTTGTTATCAAACGGTTCTGATCAACAGTTTCAAACGCCCGTTGGATATCTGTAAAAATTGCAAACGTTGGACAGTTTTTATCAAAATTATATTTCCAATCATAATAAAATGCACTGAATAGTTTATTCGTAGTTATGCTTGTTTCTGAAGCCTGATTGTATTTTAGTAATAAGTTATTATGTTCTAAAAGATTAACAATTTGTTTATAAACGACCTTCTCAAGGATTTTATTGATACAACTTATCATACTAATAGGTCTTAAAACAGTAGCTTTATTTGCGTTTTTATTTTAGGAACAGGGACTACCGTAGCAATTTTTAAAGAATTTGACATTTTTGAGTTTATCAAATTTAAAATTGTTTCTAAGAGGTTGGAAAAACAGTTTTTTAAAATATTAAGGTTAATGGCATCTGTGCTTTTATTTTTCATTGCAAAAATAATGTCTTTTAAATAGTTTAAACTCCCAAGAGAAAGTCCATTATGTAAAATTTGTAAACAGCATTTGGCATGCCGATATTTTTTATAATCACATTATTTTCTAGTTCAAATTCGATTAAATCATTTGACTTATTATTTTTTGGGAGCAAACATTCAAGAGATTTCCACATTTCCTTGGAATTTCCCCTACTTTCGTAAATATGTTTGTGTTTACTTTTTTCTGTTCTAATTCTAAAAAACGTGATATCGGACGGAGGAACATTTCTAAAAGTTGTTTAAAATTTGATGAGATTTTGCTACAATTTTTTTTAAATTTGGACCAATATTAACACAATGAATTTTCCCTCAAAAATTAATTGTTCCTCTTGTGTCTCATTCATCTTAATATTGTTAATATAAACACAGACAGCCTTGAAAGTTTCATTCCAGTCAACAATTTTTCGAATTTGTGTGAATTACACTATATGTATTAAATTTTTAGATAAATTAAAAAATTGGAGTGTTATTTTATATATTTCTGTAAACAAAATTAAGGAAAAGCCTGTATATATTATAGAGCAAAATAAAGTGTGTAATGAAATAGAGGTAATGTAAGAATATCATAAATAAACTACTTTATTTTATAAAACCATAGAATTATATTGAACACTAAAAATCGAATTATAATATTTAACAGAAAAAAAGGTTTCATTTTGGTTCATATACCAATCAACACTCAATACTGAATGCTTTGGGTTTTACTATCCTAAGCACATTTTAGTATATCCTATAAATAAAGTTTTAAGTGTGTAGGGCATATATACCAGGGTACCGCCATGATGTTTCATACAGTAACTTACTAGAAATAGTGTAAAAATATCAAAAATGAACTACTTTATTTTATAAAACAATAAACTTATATTTAAAAACTAAAAATCATACTATAATAATAAAAAAACAGAATGTTTGTTTCATTTTAGTTCCTATACCAATACTGAATACCTAAGCACATTCCTAACATAAATAACAGCAAAGTTATCTTAATGAGTTCAGGGGAAATCCCATAAATAAGATTAGGCCTAAGACTATTTGATCTAAGTGTATTGTCTGTTAATTTCAGAATGTTTGTCATCTTTGCACTCTCTAGTGAGATATAAAACTGTTACATACCTATGTAAAGTGTGACACTTTATTTTAAAGCTTATTTTATTTGTAATGCAATGCCACTACATAACATTAACTAAATAAAAAATAAATTTAAAAAAAGATTGCATTATTACTAACTTATTTTGTATAGGGAGATATTTAGATTAGCTTTCAAATGCAGCATCACATTTTACAACATGTAACAATGTTTATCCAGCTAAAATCAAGTCATATTGCTGAATTCCTTATTAAATTATATTTTTTTTTTTAAATTATGGGATTCCTGAATATTATTTAATATATTTTTGTTTTGTTTTTTATAAAAATCAATATTTTAAAAGTTATTTCTACTGGTTGATTTTTAAATGAAAGATCTGTATGTAGGTTAAAGTGAATATTCACTCTATTACTGAAGTGCTATGTTTCGGAATAATTATTTTCTCAGTAAATTTTAAATAGACTCCAATTTTTTGTAATTTTGTTTAAAAAAAAACCTTTTTAGAAACAAATTTATTTGAAATAAGCACTATATATGATACTACTTTGCTATGTTGAAATAATAAAAATGCAATTATCCAAGATTTCAAAAAAAATCTTAAAAAATAAATCTGGTGACTGGGAATAATTTTTGACTCAATTTCATTACATGGATAACACCCTTAAAAACTAATATTGTCCAGTTAAATGATGCTAAAATAAAAATAAAACAAATTACCTGTAATTCTGGGTCAGGAACCTTATGGGTAACATTAAAATCACATTCTCTGAGAGGTACATCAGGGTGAAGCTCTTCATAAGCTGCTTTACATTTAGTCAAGTGAAAAGCCATTCTTTTCCTTCTTATGTAATGGGAATTGTTGTAGGGGCATATAATTTGTTCTTCAGGACTGAAAAATACAGTTCCATTGCATATTTACTTTAGTAATATCAGTCAGCTATTTTTGCTGTTGATGATAGCCCTATTTTGTAACATTTTAAAGCAGAATTATATTTATGTGTGAATACCTCTATCAGAGGGGCAAACCACTGAGGATGTAGGTGCACAAAAAGGATTTATCGAGGATGTATGATGTCTGTGGAGGATTTTTAAGGATTTACAAGGAATTATAAGGATTGATTTCTACCAAAGAGATGCAGGTGTACAAAATTTATGTCAGTAGTTTGCCCCTCGATTCTATCATACAAAAAAAAATTATATAGGGAATAATCCATACTAAACCGAAAAATCCTTTTGAGATAGGTAGACAAAATCAGTTTTAGTTTCAGTTGACCTTGTAATCTTGTTATAAATATGAATTGTAAGGTCATGTGTTTCTATATTATAATAAATTATTAAAAAAAAAAAAGACCAAGGTCCTTAAAGCTTCATACATTTTTGGTTCTCCATACTTAAACAATAAAAAAATTCAATGATACCATTAGTAAGTAGGTTAAACAACAGGGGTGCACTGTGACTGCCCTAAAGAATTCCTGTAAATATAATATAACTGAGAGATCATTATTAATGTTTGCCGATACCTTAGTAAGCAAAGCAATGCAGATAGTAAGGAAAATTGACATTAGGGCTTTTAATTTAGCTCAACAGCTGTTACATTATCGTTCATCATCATAAAAAGTTACACAACCCTTCATTATTAAAAGTAATACATATTTCCTTTAAATCTTAGGAAACATACAAATAAAAACAAATATTTAAAACAGTTATTAGAAAATTAACTATTAGAAAACAATTTTATAAATGTATAGGTAACTTACTCCAAGTAGATTTCCATTTTTTTAGCTGTTTTCTAGCTTCCTGTAAAAGAAAAATTAAGATGCAGACTAACAAAAAAACTAATGATATTTCTATCAAATTTTGATTTTTTTTATATTTTTTATTTTGACAAGTTTTTCAACTAAAATGATCCAATTGTATTACTAGGTCGATTGAAGATACGGACTAAATAAAATAAAATTTATACAAACCTGTTAACCTCTACCTCAACAGGACTTTCACAAACAGCTGTAAATTCGGCAAATAAGAAAGTTACCACAAAGTTACTTCCTTTTTATGTGTATCGCAAAATGTTTTGGCTTCAGAATATTTTTTTGCTTCTAGAACAGAACAAAAACAATAAAGTTATAGATAATTTTTTTCACCGACCTTCATTAATATACATTTTTTTACTACATACCAAGCAAACGACACACTTGCACAACAAAGACCAAATTGGAAATTGGTATTCTTTGGTTTTGGGTTTTGGATTGGCATTGGCAAATTTTTATATAAAAAAAAATTAAAAAACCCAAAATACGGATGCAACGTTGTCAAGTCAAATCAAATAATTCAACAACGAAACGTAGAATAAGACAAAAGTCGTGAGACGAGAATGGACAAGTGTAAATTAAAAATTTAAAAAAACCGACTTCAAAAACGTGCAGATGCCATCACCACATCTTAACCAAATTTATATGGGATCACTCCTGAGATACTCCCTTACTAACAAAAAAAGAATCATATAAATCGGACAAGGTGGTAAAGCATTATCGCTAAACATACATAAAAAATGAAGAGTTTGAGGATTTTCTCATGGACCCAATTTTCAGATTTTGACCAAATTTATATGGGACCACCCCTGAAGTACCCCCTTTCTAACAAAAACCGAATCATATAAATCGGACAAGGTGGTAAAGCATTATCGCTAAACATACATCAAAAATGAACAGTTTGAAGATTTTCTCATGGACCCAATTATTAGATTTTGACTAAATTTATATGGGACCACCCCTGAAGTACCCCCTTTCTAACAAAAAAAGAATCATTGAAATCGGACACCGTGTTAAAGAATAATCGCTGAACATACATAAAAAAAAAAAAATCGCGACGAATTGATAACCTCCTCCTTTTTTGAAGTCGGTTAAAAATTTATAATAAACACTTAACATATGACGAAATGACCTATTTTTAGCATTGGTATTTGAAAATATATATAAATATTTTTAAATCTTTTTTTGTTTGCGCAATATTAAACAAAAATATGTTTTAATAAAATACCTATGTTCATAAAAACTGAAAAAGAAGCGCATATTGGGTCTCAGAGGAGTCACATTTGGCCGAAAAGGACAGATATTTTTCTTGAAATGGGAATTCTCCTATTCAAGTACAAAATATAAGTAATGAAAACACCATTTTTTCTTTTTTAATAACTAGTTTTTAGAATTTACAATTTGTAATGAATAAAATCCTGAGAACTTTAGGCAAATAGTAAGGTTTGGCAATTATGTCGTCTTCTTCTTCTTTTTAGCAGTTGACATGTTAAAATTATGCTAGTTTTTACTGTTAAACCGACTTAAATACGTCCATTTCTCTTTCAAAATTGTCAACCGTCAATTGTCAAGATTAATGTCATTTATTTTAGGTTAAAGAGGTTATGTTTTGGACTTGTGTTTTGATTCGGCGATGACAGTGTTTTTAACTTAAAATGGCTCTTTACGATAATAAATATTGGCTCTTATCACATATTAGAAATTCTTTTATTTCAACAGATGATACTGGTATTAACGCACCATTAATAAAATTGAACACTATTGAAATCTATTGCTTTTTAGGAATGTGTGAACTAGTTATGTCTGGAGAACGTAGAGACATACAAACCCATTTAAAGAGTATGGAACCGTTTCCAGACCCTGAATCAAGTGAAGATGATGAAGACGATTTTGAATCTTTTGAACTGCAGATGGATATGGACTTTAAAATTAGAGAAAGATCTAATACAGCTGCTCAAATAGAAAAACTAGAACTAGCACGTAAAAGAAGCGCTAAAATGAGAAATATAAAGTGGGAACATACTCAAGACTCAGCCACGCAAGACGTAGATTTATTTGTAAAAAAGGATGTATCACATAATAAAATACAACAAAATAAAACATCTAAACTATCAGCGTTGATACAGACCCACGCTGATACACCAAAAAACCCTTTCATGGAATATGCTAAGTTTGACGGCACTGGACAAGTTAATATACCTACTAAAAAGTATAAAATATATTTGACTATGTTACCGCCTCAGCAAAGAAATTATCCAATGCCTGTGTGTTGTATTTCTAGTTCCAAAGTGAAAGAACTTATAGGTTTAATACTTTTAAAATTTAGGTAAATATGCACATAATATTCCTTTATTTCAAATTATTGAATATACATAAATATAGAACTGATTCCAAAATTAAAAAATGCATGAGCATATGCTATGTGTGCCATACAGGTGTTTCATAACAATCACATATGTAACCCCACTAACCCCTTTATTACAAAGGCAGGTTTTAATATCTCTAATATAATAAAAACTGTAACATTTTTTAAGTAAATCTTTAACTATAAATCTACAAATAATTTACTGTAAAAAAATGCACCTTCATTCAAAATATTAGAATAAATTATACTAAACTGCACCCCTAAGAGTCTCCATAAATGGGCTGACAGGGCCAAAGAAATCAAGATCAGCATGGTAGGTATTTGCCAACCTAGCAGAATGAACCATGAAGGTATTATGTCCATAATTTGTGCTGTGGAAGGGTACTTATTTGAAAAGTGTTTGATGAACTAGTAGTCCTGGGTGGAACATGAATTTCTATGGCTTGTAATAATTGAGGACATGGAACTACAGAATTAACAGCTGTTAATAGATTGGATATTAAACTCTGCTTTCAAATTAGAGTAGTTGATATATTCGACTACGATACCTTACTTGAATGCCATATACTGTAAGAACTTATGCTGGACTCTTTCTAATTTTAAGATATGTGAGATGTAGTTTGGGGACCAAACACATGAAGCATATTCTAAGTGAGTTCTGACTAAAAAACAATATAAGATTTTAAGTGTGTTGATGTTTGTGAAATCCTGAATAGTTCTTTTTAGAAATCCTAACATTTGTAGATCTTTGTTGATAGTATTTGAAATATGTGGGAAGAATGATAGTTGTAAGTCAAAGTTAATCCCTAGACCTCTAATAATGTTACAGTTCTTCAGAGTATTGAAAATTAATTGTATTACACGTTCTGGGAATATAATATTACATTTATTTGGATTTAGGCTCATTCCATTTAAGTCACGCCCATTGACTAAGTTTTATAAATCAGACTACAATAACATGCAGTGAAGGTTAGATGATACTGTAGAGTAGAGTACAGTAAATAAAAGGAATTTACCAAAATAAAAACAGGATTTAATATCATTTACAAAAATATTAAAAAGTAGTGGTCCCAGATGGGAACCCTGCGGGACACCTGAGGGCACATGTACGTCGTATAACTTGAAGTTTGAAATATGTACATGTTGACGTCTATTAATTAACTAACTTTCAAACCAATTTAGAAGAGACCCATTTACCCCAGCCATTTTTAATGTATGCATTAAAACTCTATGATTTACCCTTTTAAAGGCTTTGGAGAAATTGGTATAAATAGATGCACTTCATATCCATTTTCTAAGTCATTTGACATATGTTAATACATTTAATTTTGTTGAATTTTTATGTCTAAAGCCAAATTATTGATCTATGAGTATATTGTTGAGCGAAAATGTTATTTGAAGACCAGATTTTCAAACAATTTTGGTATAGTACTCAAGATACTAATAAAAATTAGTGTTATATAACTTGTCTTCCAGACTCTTGGAAATATGCCTAGATTGAGTAAAAAGTTCAAAATGATGAAAAGTGGTTGTGCTAAAATAAAGGAAAAATGTTTTATAATAGATGGAGATTGTTAGTTTAGTAGTATAAATATAAGATATTTTAATATCACAGTTAGATATATTTATGTTATTTACATATACAGGTACCTTTGAAATATCACAATCGATATGAATATATACTTTTAAAAAAAGGCAAACAAATTAATTATTAATTCACTAGGAAAATTTGAGGCTTTTCTTTTGTCGTTAACAAACTACCAAAAATGTTTTAAGTTATTTGGTGTAGAAGATTCTGTTTGAGAAATATAATTGTGATGTGATTCTTTTATCAGTCTCTTACAGAGTAATCTAAGTCTTGCAAACTCTTGATAATCTTGCAATGAATTAGTTATTTTGTACTTTTTAAGTGCTCTTTTTTTAAGTTAGTATACAGTTTCTTAGTTCCATGGAATACCATCTAGGACATGTTGAATTACAGAATTTTTTAGTGGTACGTACAGGTAAATAGCAAAATACAAAACATTATATATCTACCATGGTTTCAAGAGTTTGATTATAAAATAGTTCTTCCCAATTAAAACTACTTAAAAATATTAAAATTAAAATATACTAAGTATTTTCTTGGCTCAATAGTACAAAGAGATATTTGTAATTTTGAGATGATTATTTAGTTTGTTTTGTTCGCCTATGGCAGGTCATCAGCAAAAAAAGTTTGTTACTGAAAAATGTATAGTTTCATGTAGGCGGGCGAACCTGGTCAATGGCCGCCAAAACGACAATGGCGGGCCGCATGCGGCCAATGAACTGGAGGGGGGTAGAATGCCAATGTACATGTTGTACTATTAGAACAAGGTGCGACTCGATAGGCGCAGCCATTTTTATTGTTCATCTCACTCGGGACTATTTATAATAACCATTTTCTATTTCACATTGTTATTGTTCAATCCACAAGCTGGTGGATCAGACAATAACAATGTGAAATAGAAACTGGCTATTTTAAATACTCCCGAGTGAGATAAAAAATAACCTATCTTCGCCCATAGAGTCGCACATCAAGTCTATTGACAAGCATTCTACCCCACTCCAGTTCATTGCATGCGGCCCGCATGTTATGCAGGCCTGGCCTATGACAACCATTATACCTAACCTCTGATAAACAAATATCGAAGACAATCCTATGTTTTGGTTATATATCTATGGTTACAACCCTATTGCCCCCAATTGCGTGTTACATTGACGTAAGGCAGCGCAATTATTGTTTTTAAGGGTTTTTGATTTTAATATCCTTTTTCTTCTCACTCTAAATACAGTTTTTAAGTATTTTTTTGAAGATATCGAAAAAAGTTCGGCTTTTTATACGTTTTTTTTTTTTTGTAAAAAAAACATTTCTCGAAAAAACTTCAGTGACCTAAAAAATATAAAAATACCAACTATCAGTAATTCCCTTTTCTCTCTAGGCACTAGGTTCTTTCGTTCGCTATTGGTGTAGTGTCCACCAGTGTAAATTACACCAGTTACACCACCTTATTTACCCTAATTTACTTCCTCCTTATTCCTTATACACATCGTCGAGTGTAATTCACTCCTGCTAAATAGCTGGTGGAGAAAATATCCACCAGTGTACACCACATCGCCGACAGGAAGGTATAGTGGGTTTTACACCGGACCAAACGAAAGGTATGGGTGTGGGTTGGTGTAGTTCATTACTACACCCAACTACACCAGTGGGACGAACGAAAGAACCTACTAAGTAGTAGTATTATGTATTTTATTATACAAGATCTCATTGGTTGTTACTCCATTTTGTACGTTGATAATTACCATAAATAATTATTTCGTCAGATTTTATAAAATCGTTTTACTTTTGTTCAGTTACAATTATGGTACTGCCAACTTAAAAGACCCCAATCACTATGGTCTCTACATAACGGAAGAGGATGGTGAAGTAGATAGTGATTTTCCTTGTTTAGACTATAGGGAACCAATTTCTAAATTCGGTTTCAACTGCTTAGGACTCGTCGAACATAAAGAAGGTACCAAGTCGGTGTCGTTTCCCGATGATAGCACTACCTTATTCACCATCGAGGAAATGAATCGGACGAGAACCATTTCGGAAAAAAGCAAGGCTGACGAAAACAAACAAATGGAAAATGACATACAAGCAGTAAGAACTTCATCTATCCATCATACTGTCATTCACCTTAAATCGCGCGACGGTGCCTTAAAGTTTTGATATTGTTATTCGATAAAATAATTGGTCTAGGATCATAATAATTTACAAATATAGAGGGTGGGCCACCGGTAACGCTCCAGTCAGTAGAGTCAAAACTTATTGCTTTTCTTAAATGGTTTCTCAGAAAAGGTAACAATTTAAAAATAATTTCAATTATACAGGGTTTTCCAGGAAAATGATTCATACTTTAGACACAGTTTATAGCTAAAGAATCAGTTCGCTCACTCTGGGTCGGCACTTTTGATCTCAATGTTCCAGTTTATACACTGCGCAACTTGGATTTATTGTATCCCTGGTATACAGAATCAAATCATAACCAATACAATATATGACAACCACCTATATTGAAACAGCATTCTTCTGCGCATCCTGAATTTGTATCCCTGGAGTGGATGTTATTTTGGAACATCCAACTGGTCCGAGTGAGCGAACTGATTCTTTAGCAATAAACTGTGCTTTAGATTTGAAAGAAGTTGTCTTAGTAGCTTTGAAAATGGCTTCCACATGCTTCTTCATATTCTTCAGCTAATGTGTTAGAAACTTCAATCCAGCCAAGCCTTCACACTGGCACAAGACGTGGTCTGATGTTTCCTCTACTTCTTCTTCACAGATTTTTTCGAATAACAATATCGAAATGTTAAGGGGACACCGCATTTGTCTGCTAGCTACAATCTTAGTTTTCCTATAAATCATTATTTTCAGGTTGAAGATCACAATAGACTCATGGAGGCCCCTCTCTATCACTCATTCAGGGCTTTTATGCTTAGCAAAGTAAAACCCAAAATAGAAGTAAACATAGGCGTAAGTGGAGAGAGAATTGAGATTGATCCAGTGCCTCAAAAAGGTTCCAAATTGTTACCTTTCAAGGCAAAAGCCATCAGCCATCCCATAGACAGTATCGCTGATTGCGAAATAACTGATATTCGAACTAATAGGACGTGTTTTAGGATAGTTTACGGAGCTAATAGTGCCAGTATTCCTAATTCGAATCTCGATAGTTCGTTTTCTAGTTCTAGTAAGTTGAGAAACTGTTTTTTAAACAATGTCGGCTGACAATGAATGTGCTTCCTGTAAAACATGGTTTATTTATTGCAGCTAGTAGTAGTCTTCAATATCCAAATACGACGTCTTACAAAAATTACGATTTCGAAAGCAATCACGTTACAGCTAACGACCTAGTCCAGAAAGTAAAATTAATTCTCGAACTTAAAACTAGTTCGACAAGGGTGGAATACCTTGCTACCAAAGAGAAGAAACTACAAAAAAAGAAGAGTTTTCATATTGTTAAGTGATTTTATTTATATATAACTAGCTTTTTAATAAAAGACAGTATTACTTTTAATATACCAGTTTGTTTTTATTAAAAAAACTGTTTTTCATTCTATGTACGTTTTTCAGAAACAAGAAAATATTTTGGCAAGTCTACTTGTATGTGTTTACGCCTTATTTGAATTATTTTGTGTATTTCTAGTTATAAACTGAAGATAGTAATTCAATGTTCGATTCATGTTAGTACAATTACCATTTTTTTACTATTTAATCGTTTTTTGGTGATTATTATTAATTACACAGCAATCCTTATTTTTTCCCAAACCTTTTCATCCCTTCTATGTTGGTGTGTGGATTTCATCTAACAGAATTATTCGGCTTAAGGTGGGTTTTGTATCAATAATACAGTCATCTGCTTTTGCTCAATCGTAAAATTTGCAGCATTTTTTGGTCCATCGAACCGGATTAAACTATGTTTTCTGCTCAAGTTTTTTCATTAGCAATTGGAAAATTATTTGCATATATACCACATTTATCATTAATTAATAATTACCTTCATATAGTTGAAATGTGCATTAATGGGGGCGGTACCGCCCACCGGTAAGCGATGAAGAGAGTTAAGGGGCCATTTTTAATGCAAGGCAAATTTAGGGGGGTGTTGAGGAACAACCGTCGCGCCTTGGAAAATACTCAAAAGTACTTGAGGGAAAGTTTTTTTTCGAAATGTAGGCGGTAAGCCGAAAAATATTGGGAAACTATGAATTATTGACGCAAAAGTTGGTTATTTGTTGGATTGTTTTACCTGAATCATATCAAAAAGAAAAGATTTCAAGCAAAACGTGAAAATTTATTTAGGAAGGCTGTTTTGCTACGATTCTGGGATGGAATTAGAAGCCATTCCAACGACATGCCACTCACAGACCAACATTTTTCACTCTATTCATCAGTTTTTCCATACACCTACACCGAGAGTAGCAAAAACGGATGACAAAAAAATTCTTGAAAAACGATTTTTCTTCTAAAAACTCCAACACATTCAAAAATATTGCTAAGAAGGAGCCTCTTGATAGCCAGCGAACTTCAGTGTGCAGAAGTAACCGAGTAAAGACTTTGTCGTTTTCCTCACATAGCTGAGCAAATAACCGAGAGTTCAAAAATTTGATTTTCGAATCTTGTTGACAGCATTTATAACATATTGTAAAGATTGGTGCAATCTAGGACTCATATTTTTTGATACTAAATGATGTCTGTGAATCACACATTGAATGACCAGTACCTGAGGCAGTTGTCGCTTTAAAACCACGATGACAACTAACAATAGATGGTGCACCATCAGTCACAATAGAAATAATGTTCTTCCATGGAACAGCTTTGTCAGTAAAAAAAAAATTTTCAACGGCCTAAAAGAAATCGATTCTTCTCTGGTATCAGTCTCTAAATATGTAGCAAAAAGCAGTTCTTTTATTTATGATGGGATCAGGCCCAGACAACACACCAAATCCCAGAGATATTCACAGAATATATTTTGTGGATATCCAATATATCCACATGAAATGAGAAATATCCCATGGATCTAATATGGATATCCAAATGTCCGTCTATATCCAGAATATAGAAGATATCCTATGGATATCCAGTAAAATATCTAATGGGTGTCTCCCAGACAATACAAGAAATCCCAGAGATATCCACAGAATATATTTTGTGGATATCCAATATATCCACAAGATATTTTATAGATATCCAATGGTTCTAATATGGATATCCAAATGTCCGTCTATATCCAGGATATAGAAGATATTCTATGGATATTCAGCAAAATATTTTATGGGTATCTTTAGTAGAGGTTTATAAGTAACCAATGGATATATTCTATAGATGAAAAAGGAAATAATTCCAAACTCAAATGTGACATTTTTGGACCGGTTTCGTCCTTATTAGGACTCTTCTGCAATAAATAGAAATTCTCGACTCCAGTCTCTAATGGAGAAAATCTACTGGCCGACCAAGGACAGTAAGAACACCGGAAAATGTGAATGCAGTAAGAGTTTCCGTACAACGGTCTCAAAGGCGTTCAGCTCGTAAGCATGCAGCTGCTTTGGGAATTTCCGATAGAAGTGTTCGAAGAATTTTACACAACTCACTCCAAATGCATCCGTACAAAATGATGGTAGTGCAGGAATTAAGTGAAAGAGATTTTGAAACCCGTGTAGGAATTTTGACAACAAATATATGACGACACATTTCTAATGAGCAACCCGGGTATCCCGTTTCGCAACATTCGCACGTCACAATCATTTTGGGACGTAGGAATACGGTCGCTAGGCAAGTTGTTGTTTTTTGGGCAGAAGTCAACGGAAAAAGTCAGTTATTCTTATAATCTCAATTTTTTATATAAAAAACTGTATTAAATAACAGAATAGTTGTAAAAGAATTGTTAATGTGTTCCTGTTCATAGTAATATTATACGAATACAAAAGATCGCAGTTTTTTTTTATTGACGCAGCTAGTGTTAAACCAAAAGATAGTAGCTGTGGCCAGTCTCAGAACTGGCACTCGTGATGAGGATGTAGCCAGCAGCATCATCCCCATTCAACCCGTACAAATTAATGCCGGGCCGGGATATTCTTCAAAACATTCCCCGAGGCGCTGAATTTATGTCTAGCGATCAAGCAAATAATCCACAGGAACTTAATGAGCGACTGCTTCACAATCCAAAGGTTACTGTCTGGTGTGCAATATCCGAATTCGGCGTGTGGGGTCCTTACTTTTTCGAAGAAGATGGAATAACGGTAACAGTCAACGAAGATCGATATTTTGATATGCTTAATTTCCTACATCCAAAAGTTAACGAGTTGAATGTTAATCAACGAGAAAATCTTTGGTTCCATCAGGATGGTTGCTACATCGCACACCACGCGTCGTTCACTTAATCTTCTTCAAGAAATGTTCCCAAAGTGGTGTCTTTACGAGGTGATCTCTGCTAGCCGCCGCGTTCGCTTGATTTGTCGCCTTGTGACTTTTTTCTTTGGGGTTACCTCAAATCGAGAGTTTTTACACATCGTCCGCGGACTTTGACAAGAAATTGCCGCTATTCCCCAAGAAAGGACCCATCAAGTAATGTTATATAAAAGTTATCATTTTTAAAAAATAACGTTCCTAAGTGCCATAAAATGTAGATTTCAATAATAATAAAAAAAATGTTGCTTTTTGTGGTTTGGTTTTTATTGACATCCCAAATAATACCTATCATTTTGCCGCACCCTGTATAAACAAATGTTTTGAATAAGATGTATGTGGAACGTGTATATTTAGTTTATCCTTTAAACATTTACAGAAGTGATACAATAGGTTGTACAAAATAATCGGAAAAAAGCCTGTAATAACATAGGAAAGTCATGTGATGGACACATCAGATTTTTTAGTCCAGGGTCAGCGTCTCACCTTGGTAATCATTTCTACCAATAATTCAATTATTTATTAACTATTAAGATAAACACAATAAAACACTTTATTTCAGAAAAATATGTATTCCAAATTTATACAAAGTTCCCCTAAATTCAATATATACAAAATACTTTTCATCCCCGAAAAAATAAAATATGATCGCCAAAAAAATAACAACCAAATAAAAAAAATAACGATAAATTCACTGACATGGATGGATTAATACAACCAATAAAAAAATGCATTATAACACGTTAATATTACAACAACAAAATTTGGAGTAGAAAAAGAATGGAGAATTGCTAAATAACACTATGTGATGGTCTGTGGTTGTCAAATTATTAATTACAATGCACTTTTTATATTTTTAATTAAAAATGTCTATAATTTTTTTAAACAAAGTTCTAAATAGAGAGAAACAAGATCATTATAATAGCAAAAAAACATTTAACATTTTTTGTAATAAAAAAACAAATAAACAAAACAAACAGAAAATCCTAACTGAAAAAATATTTATATAAAATTTTAATCATCCGTTGTAACAAGTATCTTCAAAATTACATTTTTTATAATCTAATTTTGATTCAATAGAACTAAAATGGTCAAATTGAGGTCTACATAAATTGGAATGTTGAAAAAACAGTCCAATGAAATTTTTGTCTCATCGTAATAAAGCAAAAACATAATTTAAAATAATTTTGATTCTGAATCAAAACTATGATAAATATCCGATTATAATAAGAAAAACAATATTCACTCTATTAATATTACCGTAATATATGTTTTAAGTTTACAATAATTGTTATGATGTAAATGTTCTTATTGTAATCATAAAGTCGATAAAAAAAAAGAAAACATTCAAAACTAACCAATTATTGTTAAATAATATGGGAGTGAGTCTCTAAGAGAGATCTAAGAAAGTTGCACCGAACAATTTAATGAGGGACATCAACCCGAATGTTTAATATCTAATCACTTTAATACAGCAAAAAATCAAATCAGAGTTGATGCACACGTGAAAGAAAAACGTCTTATAAAAAAGACCTAGAGGCGTAGCCATGGGAGATAACAGGGGCATGTACCCTCCAAAATTATTAAGAAGTAATATTGCTTCATAAAAAAAATAGTTTCGACAAGTTTGACAGGTCAAAATGAAGGTTATTTATAAATTTGTGATACAAAAAAGATAAGAAAAGTTAAAAACCATGTAAAAGAGCCTTTTTAACTAAAGAAAATTTAAAGTAAAATTAGCCCAAAGCCGAGTTTCTAAACACTAAATTATTAACATTTTCTGGGAGTAAAAAATCTAGCACAGTTTTGCTTTTTTTATGAAAAAAAAAATCATAGTAAATAATTGTTATAATTTCATAGGGACAAACATACCCTCAACAATTCACACCATCTAAATTACCCGGAAACTTAAACCCCCTCTAAAAACTAAGTTTGGCTACGCCACTGAACGGATCAACCGAATTTAAAAAAATACAAATATTTATTTCGTTTATATCAAGCACAAGGTCTCCTAAAACAAAAACGCCCATTTCGAACTCGAATTAAAAAGAAATGTTTCAAAAAACATCGGCAACTTTGAACAGTCACCAAGATCACCAGATTTGGCTCATTTGAAATATGAGTCAATATCTGATCGACAGGAATATTAAATTTACTAGAAATGATAAAATGGAAGATTTTTTTATTCAGGAGTTGAAGAAGATATATTTCAAACACGTTTTACGACACCTTGTATAATAAGGTAAAAAGGAAATAGGACGAGACCAAATTGTTATTATTTTTTTAACTATCTCGTTTAACTCTCTAAAATCATCACCAAATGTAACTGCAATATTAAATGTGGAAGAAAAAATTACCTAAATATAAAATGTCAAAATCTATCATTACAGCAATAAATCAAATGTGAGTTAAGAGATGAACAACACAATATGTACATTATATGTAAAGACAGTCATGTCCCTATGTGGGCACAAGTGACAACTGGCAGGTGACACTTTTACCAGAGTAGGGACTACTTACTAATAATAAAAAAGTCAAATAAAATCGCACCAGTTAAAAAAACGCATTATAACTCGCAAAATAATTATCCGACTTAGACTTACGGTTGAAGATGGTAAGGAGAATTGCTAAATAACACTATATATATGGTCTGTGGTCGAAAAACAAATTTGCAAGCTGTAATGTGTATACAAATCGAAAATTTTAAACCCCTTTCGAATAATTATAACCTTTTTTTCTCTTAAATTTCTTTTTTATATTAAGATTTGTACCCGCTGAACGTTTTATATTCTGCATAACTGATTTGGCCGTCCTTATCCGGATCCATATCTTTTAGAAGATCATCAACGAAATTAGAGATATCTTCATCAGTCATCGATGGTGTATCATCATCTTTTCCTAAAAAAAAATTGACGGAATGTTATTTGATTGCCAAAAAACAAATAAATTAATGTGTGATTAGGTTGTAGAGTTGATGGTTAGTCCAGTAGAGAGACAATTCTCTTAAACATATCTAAACTATGACGACTTCAGGGTATCTATTCTTGAATAGAAGAAGTAGAATGAGATAAAACTCGGTTTTCTATTCTCTCGAATTCAAGAATAGACATCCAGAGCTGTTATACAAGGTGTTTTATTACGAAGTGTATATACGTTAACAACAAACAGAGAAAAAAATCTATAATTAATGCGTCTCTTCTAAGTGAAGAAGATTATTTTTACGAGGAATAAATTTATATTGTTCATTTGGAAGAAGAGGGTTATATCTCAAAAATAATAATTTTACAAAAGATCAAATTTAAATAATTTGGTATGCCTAAAAAGTAGAGTTAAATCTGCTCTCTGGTGCTGTTAAGCTGACTTGTTCCCTTTTTCCCTATAAAACATGTGATAATTTTAAATAGATTCTGTTTGAAATTTCAAAATTTAAGTTTTTTAAGATGTAACTCTTTTCTTCCAAATGAACGATGTAAATCTATTAACACATTATTTTATTACCGGAATTCCTTTGGGAGTCAAGAAAATCTTAGAAATTGACATAACTAAAGATAAAACTATCTTAGAATATTATTTAGAAAATTTGGATTTAGCAAATTCTAGGGAAATAAAACAACCAGCAAAATGTGTGAAAATAATAACTAAAAAAGTGTTTTATACGAAACGGTGACATATTTAAATTCCATGTAGATATTTTAAAGAGCAAGATAGGTTATCTAGAATAGTACTTTTTATAATTTTTTTTATCTATTCTAATTTTATTTATTATTATGTTTAAAATGTTTAGACTTTGTAATTTGAACGTTCGTTCTCTTGTGGCAAATTTTGATGAATGTCTAATTTTGGTAAATGAGTTTGATTGTATTGCTGTTACTGAAACATGGTTGCCTGCAAATATTGATACAAACACCATTTCAATTACTGGATTCAATTTTTACCGATTTGATAGACAATCTCGATATGGTGGTGTTGGTCTTTATTTAAATAATTATATTACTGGTTTACAATTAATTGAATTTAATTCCTCAGACTTAAAATGTGAGCAAATATGGATTCATTTTACGATAAACGGTTTTCGCGTTTGTATTGGAATTATATATCGACCACCTAAAGGCAATGTGTCCCTTTTTATTGATAGTATTGACACTACTTTGTCAAAAATTCTGCCTACAGTTGATCACATTATTTGCGTTGGTGACATAAATATTGATTTGTTGACAAATGATAATTCATCTTATTTTGATGTGTATGACTTATATTAATCTATAATTGAACCTACTAGAATAACATCCACCTTGATGATTCTACTTGATCGTATTTATATAAGTGATTGTAGTTTAGTAAAAAACAAATTTTTCTCTCCATAGGACTCTTTCTGTGGTTTGGAATTTTCAAAAATAAGAAAGAAACCTAAATTTATACGTTTAGAGATTTTAAAAATTTTGACTATGACAGTTTTTACAATGATTTAATAAATACTCCATTTTATGAAATTTTCAATATTGATGATAAAGTGCAGTTTCTCACAGAACAAGTTATTCTCTTGTTTGATAAACATGCGCCATTAAAAACTAAACATATTATTAAACCTTATGCACCCTGGTTAACCTATCCAATCAAATTACTAATTAAGGAGATCAATTTTTGCTCTAAGCAAATTTAGGCAAGCAAGACTCAGTAATGAAAATCATAACGAAGTTTAAACAAAAAAATAGACAAAACAAGGAAAAAATTATTCTGTGGTAGATATGGCCATACCCAATCAAAATGCCAGAATAGTATAACATCTTACATTTGTGCGAAAGCTCATTACAGCAAAGAATGTAATAATACACTAGAAAAGAAAAGCATCAATTGCCTAGAAACCAACAAAAGGCTGGGAAAACCTTAAATCTTAAATATTTCAAATTCATGTAATAAGTTAGGATTAAAAATAAGAGTAGTAGTTTAGTTTTTTTCTTCTTTTTCTACCTATCAGTATTAATTTTCTCTGGTGGTAAACAGTATGATTGATGTAATTACCAATTACAAATTATGGCACTATGGGTTTTGCTAAGTTTTCCTCTAGTCTTGGTAAATACGCCATTCTTACTCGGTAAGTCGACCTAGCTCGCACATTAATAATTAATTATTAATAACAATACTACATCTTGCAGTTGGTATTTTTGCATCATCTATTTTAATTTTTAGCTTTATCTTTATGTAATATTGAGTTATGGATATTGACGTGTACAACACAATACACTTTGTATATTGTCCCTAGTACAAATAAAAGAATTTGAATATTTGAATTTGTAGAATAATTATAGATCAAAAATTAGTAGTAAAATTATCTGCGTGAAAACAAAAAATACTCCACTAGTTTTTTGTCTACTTACCAAATATGTAAAGCAATTTTTGAAAATATGTTTTATATAGTATGTTGTTTTGAGGCTGAACGAATTTGCCAATTTTTCCTAATGTTGACTTGATTTTTTATTGTCAAAGCCCTAATCGATTATATATCTACCTCACAGAAAATAACTGTCAAATATGAAAAAATCTACAGGGTGATTCGTAAATTACAAATCAAGAAAGAAATGGCCAAAATTGATAAAACATGTATATAAGTTAAGATGGAAGTTAGACCCATTTACTATAAGATTTTAAGAATCATCTAAGTCTTCCCTCTGCAGTCAATGTACACTTCGCAATTAGACAAAATTTTATGGTAATTGGTTGAAATTAATGTTCCTGTTAAATACTTAATCAAATACTTAATTAAATACTTAATTAAATACTTAATTAAATACTTAATTAAATACTTAATTAAATAATTAATTAAATACTTAATTAAATACTTAAATAAATATTTAAATATCAAAAGATATCCCTACAAAAATCCCATCTTAATCCACCACCTTTGCATCAAAATATACATAGCTTTATAAATTTACAACGAAAAAATAACCAAAAAAAAACACATACACAAACTTAAGCTTGGGGTTTGGCCTGTCCAGCGGCCTTTTGTTGAGCTCTAATAAACTCCGGATAATCGATGTAACCGTCCTTGTTGAAATCGTCTACGGTCAGTATGGGATCGATCAAGTTCACCAGTTCTTCGTCTTTGAAGATCTTGTTGCCGTCTTCGACTTCGGCGTTCTGTTTGTTCCCTTGGTTGCCTTGTTCTGGATGCACAAAGACACAACGACAAAGGTTTACAAATGGCGAGAGCGGCGTACAAAAGCTGGATGGTTTTATGAATTGACAAAATATATTTAACCATTAACCCATATGTGGCGTCCAAGAGACTGCGCTTTATTTTTTAATACTAGGACTCCACAGGCAGCACACATTGGTATAATTAACGTATTTTATACGTAATTCTCGTCTATATTTGGTATTGGTCGATTCCGTATACATTTAGAGTTTATGATTATCATACATACCGTTTTTTAAATGATATACGTTTTTTTATATGTCCTATGGTATATAATTGTAAACTATTCTACGTTTAAATATTGTTAACAATATACGACTATTTTTAGTTTGCGATGAACGATTTGTAGACAGTGTGCCTAAATATACGTTTAGGTTTAAATTAAATTCGTAAAAATTTATTGTATTTTTCGTTAATAACTCCCGTTTAAATTTCGTATTGGTTGATTTCTTACGTTTTTATACTTGACATTTTTTAAAGGAAAAATTTAATGTTTATAGATACTAGTTATTGTATATTATACGTTTAAATATAACTTACCTTGCATGCATATTTTCTGTTGGGGATAAACTAGTAGACAGAAGTAAATAATATGTATACATTTAGGTTTATTTATATGAAAAGCTTATTGGTATAGTTGTTTATATTATATCCATATTTTTTTATTATATCACCTGTAACATTTATAACAAATTCTCCCTACACATGGAACTATTTGATAAGGGGGATGAAACATGGCATACTCGGGCTACGATCTCTTATCATTTCTACTTTTACGTTTGCGCGTATTGGGTAGTGTAAAGTGTTGCCAATTAGACGTAAAAAGCGCAACTTTTGACCTTTTTGTCTGTGTTGCGATTTTATTGCGCTTTTTTGCGATTTTTACCTGCAAAGGCGACTGGTAATGACATTTTATATTTTTCCTTTTTACTTTTATAAATAACGAATGTTGATACTCAAAACAGACAAATACACTTTTAAGAAAATGTATGCAAAAACGTATTAAATATAGAGTGATTACTTGTGAATTACCATAAACAATTATCCTCTAATTTGTGCTATTAAATTATATTTGAGGCAATATTTTGGCTTTTTTATGTTAGTAATAATGTTGCGCTTTTTGATCAAAAATTGCTCTTTTTATGCTGGAGTTTTGCGCTAATCGTTTCTTCGGTATTGGCAACACTGGTAGTGTAGTCTGCTGTGACATTGCTGTGTAGGTCACTCTACTATACTCATTTGTGTACACGTGTTCAAAGATATTGATTAAAAGCATAGGTAAGTTTCTATTCCTTCAATAATTCCTGCATTTTACAACTGCTGTTTTATAGGTAGGTACAGTGTGTAAGATGCTTACAGAAATTCTAAAACATAACCTTACTTTCTAACTTTTATTTCTCTTATTTTATAAGGGTTTTTTAGGCCATCTATTTATTCCAATCACAATATTCGTCAGTAGATTTTATTTCATAGAATGTTAAAAAGCTGTGGTTATAGTAATTCCTTTTTGCAGAAAATACGCGTGGCCTGCATCGGCAGAGTAAACGTTAGGAATTGTACCTACCATGGACATTATGAAATACCTTCCGAGGAAACCAGTTGCCATTAAATTTAACCGGGTAGGCCGTGATCGTTACGGTGGTTATTTCTGGTAAGTTTCTTTTAACAGTGGTAAGACCTTTATAATAAAAAAGGTTCTATTGTAGAAGCCATAAGGCATGCCAATTGGAACGATGGTGGACCTACCAAGCGATTTGACAGACCGAACCATTAAATGTGACATACAAGACTGGCTTAAACATTGTTATAACACGTCTGGAACAACACATCAAAGTGATGACTGAAGATTTTTATTTTGATATATATTGTTTGTTTATTAAGGAAAGATCCTGTTAAGTTTCTCATTTAGAATTGTATTGTTTATTTTTTGAAATAAAATATTTGTTTATACATAACGTGATTTTCGGCCAAACCAAAAACACGATGAATATACGGTTCTACCCTGGACATTTTCACGAATATATTGGGTAGTACATCAACTGTATTCATACGAATGGTAATAGCTAAAAAAATACGTAATTTATACCAAAGTGTGTTGCCTGGGTCTTTTTGAAGTGAAAACTTCTTTTGGCGCGCCTTGCATTAATATTAATGACAGTTTGATTTATAAACTATTCCATTACGAAAATACAGGGTGCTAAATAAATTAATATTGTTGAAACCTACTTGAGATATTTCAGCGATATTTAGTACTCAGTGACGATTGATTATTAAAGATGCATTTTTCAATAAAAAAATATTTTCAGCTTTAACAGTGGCGTGCGTACGGGCACTGGCTTTGATATTTTTAAAGAAAGAAATGGTACGCCAATGATTTTTTCCAAATAAAAATTATTTTTGTATTCTCCGTTTAATTTGTAACATAAAAGCTGTCTTGAGTTGTTTTTCTGCGATGCACCGTTTTTAAGTAAAAAAAACATAAAAACCGATGTACTGACCTAGAAAATTAATGTAATATATTGAAGAATACAATTTTGCAATAAATCTAGTTGCCTTTTATTAACTGTTACTGCATATTAAATATTAATTAAAAATTTGAAGCGGTTTTGCAAATATTGATTAATTTCTTTTTTTTTTCCTAAAACTTTAGCACCCCGTATGTTCGTAACGGAATATGTTTCATGTGGATTCAGTTTCATTAAGAAATACCTTGTGCTTACCTGGTACGTCAAATAGGAGAACATTTAAATTGTTGTTAAGAGAAAATTAAAAAACATTTAATCTAAAGAAAATGGATCTAAAGAAAATGGATAAAACATTGAAAAAAAAAAAAAACAGGAAATAGCACAAAAAAATAATGTAACTAACCCTCTAGATTTAAATAGTGCCTCCCCAACTGTAACAACGTGAGATTTTATTAAAACTTTTGATAAAATAACGAAAAAAATGTATATTTTTTACTAATTTTTGTCAATTCATAAATTTTTGAATATAGGTACAAGCATTTTTAAGCCATCATGTATTTCAAAACAAATCAAAACATATCGTCAAATTATATAAAGGCTGATTAATAAAAAAAAAGAAAACTAGGCAGGTAGATTTAAAAATACAGGGTATTTTTAAAAATCATATACATAAGGAAGGAGGTAATTTTTTGGCTTATTCTATGACTAAAATATAATATAAACGCTTAGTTATCGATCTACAGGGTGTTGAAATTTTAATATTTTTGCCTTTTACCCTATAGCTACTGTAGTTTCCTTGTTATGGTTATTATTTAGATTTTCTGTATTGTAATAAATAATTGCTACAAAAACATGCTCATCCCAGCTTTAATTTTTAGGAGGAATAAACTGAAACTGTCACTTTAATTCAGAAGAATTTTAAAAAATCCTATTTTTGTTTTTTTTTTCCTGGATAAGTCACAGATTCAAGATGTTCTAAACAAAACAGCAAATTTATTTTGTATTTTAAAAACGAAAAGGGGGAAGACCCCTGAAAAAATATCGTTCTTTAGAATCTTTTAAAAAAAATTTGTTTTGAAATTCATGATTTAGTCGACAGGTGGCGAAATAGCGGAAAACATTGAATCGCCCTGACTTACCATGCCAATGTATTAGAGACTTTATCAGTTCACAGCCGTCGAGTTTGTTGTTGTTGTCAGCATCATGCATTTTGAAATAATGAAATTGTAATTCCTGTTCGGTCATCTTGCTGGTATCTATTGGCACATCCATGTGCTCAGCTATGTGCCTGGTTATGTAAAATAACTACATCAATGATTGTTCTTTCAAAGCTTTAAATGTGAAATTTGTAAATTATGATAAAAACTTGATCAATGACAAAAAACATACAGTATATCTGTATTACAGTCTACCAGTAGAACACAACTGGATTAAACAGTTTCATACTCTTCCTGGGAACAGCTGTGGTTTTTAAATATAAATAAAGGCACCGACTCCTTTTGTAAAATAGTGGAACAAGACCATGACATAGAATTAATAAATAATTAAATTCTTTTGTTAACTGATTGGTCAATGTTTATAATATTTAAAAATATTTTAAATACTTATCTGTTATTATACATTGCCATGGGTTGAATTACATATTCATTATGTTTATCTTAATAGCCAATAATATTTATACATACATAGCAAAAAATAAAAAATGATTAGATGTATCAGAAACCTGTAGTTAGAAGAGGTCTGAAAATATTTGCTAGTTTGGCATTTTATTTATTCATAAACTTTCAAATGTAATATATTAGATATTGTTCTTGATCAACAAAACATACAATATTTTTTGGAATTTGCAAACTCTTATCATGACACAAGATATGCTTATTGTATTCCACTTCCCATTCCTACCATTTCTACCCTATTTTATATAACAGTAAACAAAATTTTAATCATCTACACTTGTCCAAAAAGAAATGAAAATACATATAAATATAGACCGGAAGTAAAAAGCTTCTTATAGCAAAAGCATGCTTAAGAGTTTTTGAGTACTACTTGACTTTAACTAATTATAAAATATGATTAAGCAACAATGTTATTATTAATGATTTTTTATTTTAATGTATTACTGTACTTAAGTTTTTATCTAGATATATTTCTTGTATCATTTAATTTGTATATTTTACATTGTTTCCCTTCTTTTTATATGTTGTTTGCTTTCTCAATGATATATACCTCTTCGTACAATTTTGATTGATTGATAGATCAATGTTGAATATATGTAAAACTTACTGAGCTTCTTGAGCAGCATTGGCAGCATTTAAGACCTGTTGAGGGCGACTGTGGTCATGGTGATGCCCATGTTGTTGCTGTTGTTGAACAGGAACTTGCTGTTGTTGGACAGGAACTTGCTGTTGTTGGACAGGTACATGTTGTTGCTGCTGAACAGGTACCTGTTGTTGCTGCTGAACAGGAACATGTTGTTGGTGTTGAACGGGAACCTGTTGTTGCACAGGTACTTGTTGCTGATACTGAACCTGCTGGGGTTGACCGTACTGCTGTTGCTGGACTGGTTGATGATATTGTTGTTGGGGTGGAGGCTAATTGTAGAAAATGTATCAAATAAAAAATTTAATTGACTCAAAAATTGTGATATTTTTGATCATTTATATAATTTCGTTTAAAATAGTGTTTTAAAAATGTTTTACATGAATATTAATTTACACAATCTAGTTTAAAACCCTAAAAACAGAAAATACACTAATTATATCCATTAAAAAATTATAATTCACAAAGTATGTGAGAATATTATAATAAATTTTCTCAAATATGATTTTAAACCAACTTTCATTTTTTGTACAACGATAAAAACTGAATAAACCATGTACATATGGTATAAAAACTTGCAAAAAATTAAAATTCCTTACCTGATAACGTTGCGGCGGGACTCCAGGAGCGACTTTTTGTGCGGTACCGGATAGTACGAAAATATTAAATATAAGGAATATGGTACTAAATAGAATCATTTTGATCTAATTATAATTTAATATCATTCAAAAATTAGTAATTGCTCAGACGTTGCATGGTTCAAAATACTTCAAATATAAAAATTTACCCACTCTCATCTGTGGAAACCACGTAATTGACACTTGTCTGACGTTTCTTTTGTCAACTTTGATTTGGAAGTGACTAATCATCCGAGAGTACCGACTCAAGAGTTCCGTCACCTAGTATTCAAAATCACATATTATGATTTTCTTTTACTATACGGAGAATGGTCGCACTGCGCAGCTTTCTGAGTGCCTTTTAAAAGGAGATAGAAAACTCCGCCATTTTGGACCCATATTACGTGTTGCCTACATCTTGGCGCAATATTTTTAATAGGTGCGTTTTAATCATCCGCTTCTGCTTCGGAATTGTCGGTTTTCTTGTTTTAATCTGACAGGTTAAAACGACTAAACCGACAATTCCGGAAGCAGAAGTGGACGATTAAAACGCATCTGATATTTTGCTTACTGCTGTCAGTGTCAGTGAATATTAGGCATTCCAACGACCTGTCAAACAATAGATACCAGTGGGAAATTCTTGTATATTTAAGGGGGTAGCGACATAGTCTTGCAACTTGGACGCTATTTTTATTCGAAGTAGTACTCGCCAAGCCTGCCAATTTATGAAGAAATGTATAGGTGGGTTTTTTAAATATTATTTTTATTGTGTTTGACATAAAATATTTAAATGTAATCCATTATTCATGATTTTACGTAAAGTAGATAGAATACACCATATGTCGCCACCCTTAGATATACCAAACCTGCCCACTGGTAATTCATTTGTTTGGAATGCCTAATTATTTTTGAAGTCACAGTTTATTGCTAAAGAATCAGTTAGCTCACTCGGACCAGTTGAAAGTTCCAAAATAACATCCACTCCAGGGATACAAATTCAGGATACGCAGAAGACTGCTGTTTTATTATAGGAGGCTGTCATATATTGTATTATCCGAGTTGCACAGTGTATAAACTGGAACATTGAGATCAAAAGTGCCGACGCAGAGTGAGCGATCTGATTCTTTAGCTGTAAACTGTGTCACAGGAATCAAAATGGCTGAAATTAAAGGCTAATGGTAAGATTTTGAGAGTATTATTCTGCAAATATCATTCACTATTAATACATTAATTGCAGCTTTGTCCACCCTATATTTAAAATCAGACGAGATGGTTTCTTACATTCTTATAAGCATTAAATACAACGAAGAGCAAGAAATGTCAATTCAGATCACCCATTAAATGGTAATCAAATAGTTATTAATATAACTCACCTTTATTAAATCTCTTTACCTGTTTTTAGTTTTTTTAGATAATCCCGGTAATGATAATACATTATTGAAATTTTATTAATATATTTTTCTGTATTTTAAGGAGTTAGTTTATTTCGTATATTTATGCTGCGTTTGAGAATCCACATCGGATGCATCTGAGATGTAAAAAATCTTTGATCACGTGGTTCAGTATACGTAAATGTAATGGGACAGATGTGTCCGATGTGGATAAAAAAACGCTCGAGATGTAAAAAATGCATCCGATGTGGATTCTCAAACGCAGCAATAATAGACACCGAAATGTAAATTTGGTCACATTTGAAGAAGAAAAAGAGTTCCACTTCGAAAATGTAACGAGTAATTTTTAATTTTTATTTTTTAAATAAAAGCGTTTGTGAAAATATACCAAGTTTGGTTTTTCTCATTTTAGTCTAGATCGTATCTATAATGAAACTTGAAACGAACAAGAAGTATTTGTGAACAACTAATTAATAACATGCAGGTTATTTACAGTTCGGCTGTCTCGTACAATTAGGGGTGCCAATTCTTTATCCAGCAGGTTTAGGACGTATAGCAGCTAGACTCTTTTATGCAGGACCCTCGTATACACAGCTCGGGTCTCGGATGGTTAGTCATTTCCAGTTTATAAATGATAGAATGGACCTTTTACTTGGATAAACAATTAGGCATTCCAAACAAATGAATTGCCAGTGGGAAGGTTTGGTATATCCAAGGGTGGCGACATACGGTGTATTCTATCTACTTTACGTAAAATCATGAATAATGGATTACATTTAAATATTTTATGTCAAACACAATAAAAATAATATTTAAAAAACCCACCTATACATTTCTTCATAAATTGGCAGGCTTAGCGACTACTACTTCGAATAAAAATAGCGTCCAAGTTGCAAGATTATGTCGCTACCCCCTTAGATATACAAGAATTTCCCACTGGCACCTATTCTTTGACAGGTCGTTGGAATGCCTAATAGGAAACATTATTGGCCGTAAGTCAATATATGGCAAGACCAGAAAGAATACATTGAAATTTTAAAGAAACGAAGACTTCTTGACAAAATGACAGATGACAACTGACTTTGTGACTTTAGTGTTGGTGAATATTCAGTTACTATATTCGACTTTTTCTTTGAATTTTTCAAATAGTTTTCAAAGTTTAAAGCGTAAAATAAATTTGAATCGTAATTATAGTTCACAATAGTTCATTCTCAATTTGTTAGAGGATCTTAATGGTTAGATATAGATATTTCAAATAACAATCTGTGTATTGCGTTATAAGTTAACTTTGATGATTATTCAAAACAAAACAAAGATGTTTACAAATACAACTTTTATCAGTAGTGATAATCCGACACATTTTACTGCTTGACCACATAAAAAAAACCACTGAACAATACCGAATTAACATTTTGTAGTGAAATGATCCTATCGTGAAATCCTAATTAGTTGAAACTAGTTTGATGATAATTTATAATTATGCAGACTTATTTTTTCTTTGATTACAAAGTAGAACATCTACTCTTTTATGGATTTTCGAGCAATTCTCCCGAAGGCCTGGTGGGAATGTGTTTATTTATAGGAGGTATTTCTTTTCTGTTCGAATTTTTAAGATTCATCCAAACCATACAAAAACAGAAAGAGCTGAAATTGAGAGTAAAGCAATTGAAGCTGTTATGCCCCACCGAAAGTGCAGCTTTGATTGCTGAGAGTGTTACTAATCCAAGGAATCCTCTAAATATCACTCTTTTTGACAGGTAAGAAATATCCTGTAAAAAATGTTTTTTATTAATATTGTAAACCCTATTAATATAAATTTATGTTAATGTATTGTTTAATATAAAGCATTAAAGATCCTACAATCGGTACATTTTAAGCTGTTTTGTCTAGTGTCCTAATACCTATATATTTGTAAATTATATTTGGTTTTGGGGATTTTTGCCTGTAATTTCTAGACACAAATTGTAAATTTTACATAGTCTAGAAAAAGTATCATATAATACAAAAACATTTTGAAATTACTATATTGCTAATTTAAAAAGTATTTAGGTATGTCAAAATATTGTCAAACCTTAAAAATTTAATAAAAAGAAACATTTTTTGCTTTTAAAAACTGTTATTCATTTTTTAGTACAATTTTATTGAATCATTCGTAGATAAATAAAATGTTATCAGTAGTAAATAGTACCCTGACCCTGAAATAGATATTGCAGCCAAAGAAGTTAATGAATGTGTTCAATTTAAATAAATAAATTCAATTATCTTCTTGGTTATTTTTTAAATCAGACTAGGTCCTGGTATTCCTCAAGTATCACATTGTGTATTATTTTTATGTAATCTATTTATTATTGACAAGAAATTGTTTTAAAAATAGTAATTTCCAATTTTTATCCATTTTAAAAATAATATTGAACAATAAATTCTTATAAGGAACAAAAAATGCTTCAAAGCAATATATATGGCATTCCAGGTAGGTGCCTACGTTGCTACCATGTTGTTTTATAAAGTTTTATTTAAAATTAATAAGAAATGAGACTTATTATCCTGAATATTTAATTTCTGGTGTTTAGTGATTGTATGTAAGAGTTCATAGACAACATTCATATAAGATTTATCCAGAATAAGAGCTACATAGGTATCTACTTTTAGGGCTGACTTGGTAGGTAGAAAAGTCATGATCATTATGCTCTTTCAGAACAAATTAGCAGTTTCAACCAGATCCACTGATGGATGAATTATATATTAATAACATAAGGAAAATATTATCTTAGTTGCATTTTTATGTTAAACTTCTCTTTCAGAGCACTTATGTTTGGTACAGAGATATCACTATGGCTGCTATTGCAAAACCTGGGTTATTTCATAATGTTAGCAGTGATGATGTACAACACCTGGTTCTTGGTGTCCGCGTGCATAGGCGGGGCCATAGGTTATTTTATTTTCGGACAGAAGTTCATGAAAATAAACATAGAGAACTGTCAAATGATGAGAGATGCATTTTGTATACATATGTGTAGTGACATGCCAGGTAATTATATTTGTTATATTACTTTATTACAGATTTTTAATGATTTCGTAGTCAGCAGGCAGTGTCGTGGCAAAATAGTTTGGTACAAAATTAAAATTAAGTGTACTTTATTTTAGTTCCAGAAAAAAGAGTTAGACCTGCTGCTGAGACACGAATAAGATAAAATCCTTACCCTTATCCCATGTATTTTTTTCAGTCAGTAAGTATTTGTTGAACCCTGTGTATCCTATTAATTAAAAATGCTTTAATAATTAAATAAATATTACAGTTTTGTTTGTCCTTTTAATTTTAATTACATTAGTTAATAACAATTTTCTATTCTATAATTAACTATAAGGCATCGACATTTTTAATTATATTTAAGTAGCAACAATTTATAGAGGTCTTTGATTATCTAGGAAAATCATCATTTATCTACTTAATCAAGAATTTAGAAACAAATTGGTACTAAAAAACTATTATTGTTTGTTATTTGCGCTCAAAAGCAGCCAATATAATAATTACAAATGGTTGCAATGTTGCCAAATATGCTTGGAAGGTGAATATATTTTTAAAAAACAAGTGTTTTAACACTTGTTTTTTATTCTCGAAATGAGTAGATAGTAGACACACAAGGGGGCCACGAGGACGTTACTTCCAAAAGGCACCGCTAGACGGCGTCACCTGTGAGTGTTGGGAATTGAAACTGGGATAAGAGATCCAAGATGGCGGCCATCGTTTACGCGAACGAGTATAGATTAGGGTTAAAGAAAAAAATCATGTGCAGTCAGAGTTACCAGGTTTTTGAAAGAGATTACGGACAGGCAGGGGATTTTAGGGGAAGTAAAAACAACTCTGTCTATTTTCATTTTTTTAATCAAAATTACTTATTTTGTAAAATATCCAAACCTAATTTTTGGTAAAGATAAACTGAGGTGTTTTTACAAATAATAAGGTGAAAATGTTTCTGACTTTGGATTTTGATTTGTGATTTCTCGATTTTCTAACTTTAAATTTTTACCTCATTATTTGTAAAAACACCTCAGTGTATCTTTACCAAAGTTAGGTAAGAATTTCTTGCAAAATGTGAAGATGTGACGTAGATTAACGCTGAAGTGAAAAATCATGCGCAGTGGTAATGTCAGAAGGACCTAAGTTTATACATCCGTTGCTATTTGTCCGATTCAAACGGAAAAAACGGTAGTATAGGAAAAAAAGACGTTCAAGAGAAAAATCATGTACAGTGGTATAATATCAAAAGGACCTAAGTCTTCCACAGTTTATAGCTCAAGAATCAGTTCGCTGACTCTGCGTTGGCACTTTTGATCTCAATGTTTCAGTTTATACACTGTGCAACTCGGATAATACAATATATGACAACCGCCTACATTCAAACAGCAGTATCCTGAATTTGTATCCCTGGAGTGGATATTATTTTGGAACATTCAACTGGTCCAAGTGAGCTAACTGATTCTTTAGCAATAAACTGTGTCTCTGCTATTATTGAATAGAACCAAACAGGACAAACGGCGCTATGAAGGAGACGTTGACATAGATTAACATTGAAGAAAAAAATAATGCACAGTGGCATTGTCAAAAAGACCTAAGTGTATATCTCCACTGTTATTGGTCCGATTTACATGAAACAAAGGGCACTATGAAGGGGAAGCGAAGTAGATCGACATTAAAGAGAAAATCATTCACATTGACAGACAAAAGGACATAAGTCTATATCTCTGCTATTATTTGATACAATCAAACGGGAAAAACGATACTCTGTAGGAGACGTGACGTAGATTTGAAGTCCCAACATTGACAGGTGGTGCCATCTAACGATGGCCTTTTTAAGTAACGCCCCGAGGCCCCCTTATTGTGTATTTACTATAGTTTCAGTCCTTAAATTATTCTAATTGTATTGTAAGTATATCTTACTTTTATGATGTTCCATATTTGCGGGACACCGCCTAAATAAAATTAAGGGATTTAGGATTGTAAATAATTTTACTACAGTCTTTTTTTCTAAAAACATCCCTGTTTTTCCCATATTTTGTGTACTCTCTACCTATCAAATTATTTTTGTATATCTGTTTTAATAGCCAAACGAAACTTTGGAACTTTTATAGATAATACCAATCAGCGAGAGGGTGAATCCACCCCTGCAGCGCCAACCCCTACGACTTCGCATAACGATCTCGACAATCAGGGAAAAAATAAAAATCTCACCAACAATCACGCAGATGTGGAAGTTGAAGTACAGTGTCATTAATTTCTTTTTAGTAATTTGTCATGGTGATTGGGATATTGGGTTTTTACAATTTTGTTGCTTGTTGTTTGATTTGTATATAATATAATCATTCTAATATGCTAATAATATGAGTTGCTACATATTGACTATGCCTATTAATTAAAAAAAAAATATGTCGATAGTGTAACTTTTTTTTTATTAAATTATTCGTTTATTGCGTTTTGTAATTCTCAATTTTGAATATTAAATGTGATATATAAAGAAATAATATATTAATTTCTAGTAAAATATCAACTTTTTCGTCCACACTGTATATTATTATATTATGTATATAAAGATGGCGATAAAATTGGAAGAAATTACTAGCTTTTAAAAATTAAGGTTAAAGACTTTTTTATATATAAAAAAAAAACATTTTAATTGGAAAGAAAACAAAAAAGATGCACAAAATGACACCAGGATCAAATAATTTCGAAAAAAATGCAATTTTTTTGGTTTCATTAAATAATATGGCAGTATGGTCCACCCAACAAAAATATTGATATAAATACATGAATTAGGGTAGGTATTGGTTTCTCAATTGGTATTAGATTGTGATATTAATATTATAATAAGAGTGTAAATATTTTTTTTTTGTTAATTAAATTGGGCAACTTCTATTTGATCCATTTGTTTATTTACAATAATTTAGTTTTTGTAGGCAAGTTCATTTCTATGTAGTTTCTAAAATATTGTTTCTTCCGAAATATTATAAGACATAATTATGTACAACTAGTGAGTCTGATGGTATTTAGTAACAGCAACCAATCGGGAGCTTGAAAATCTAAAAATACATTTCGTTATTTTTTTTATAAATCTTGAATATTTTGTAAGCATCATTTATTGTATCAATGACGTAACAAAGCTTTCAGAGAAGTAAACAAAAGCCTAAGAAGGCTGCTGTCCTCCTCGATCGTGTCAGAAAACAGCAAAAATGGGCAGATTTTTAGAATGCTTGTGCTATGTCCCGGAGATGGGAGCGGTCATGTGACATGTGATAATCAAATTAAGTATGCTTCGATGGATTTTTGCTTTTTTTTTGGCCGGCAATGAAATATAATAATGCTTTCAGGTGTTTAAAGCAATAAAGGCATTTTCTGTTATCCGATTTTGCTATTTCCGGTGTAAAAATTCCGGTCACATGATCAAATATTTTCCTTTTTCTGAACCTAAGATTTTTTTGTGTTGGCGAAAAAGTTAATATATTTTTTTTTAAGTTACCTGTTTTTTAAGTAATCGTAAAATGTTTGTATGACTCTAAACTAAGGGAATTGCCCTTGCGGGAATTCAGCCAGAAAAAAAGTCGAATGGGTTAAAACTACGAAATAAAAAATTCTTGGCAGTGCAATATTCAGTGGCATAACTATCATAATATATGGTAGTTCGAGGTTTATCCACGAGGGCCCGCGATTTTAGGGGCCCATTCTGAGCTTGTTTTGTTTTAACGCCCTCACAATCTAATCGAATAACAATAAACATTTATTTTAAAATTCGTAATAAAACTATGTATTATTATTATTATTATTATTGTTAAGAACAGGCAAGCGACATAGTTGGTGAAGCTGCTCTTTTAGTTAGTGGCAAAAATTATTCGCCTTGAACTGGTTTATGTTCTGAGCTGAGACCATATATTATTCCTGGAGACCATTTGACAAATATACAGTTCCGTTTGTAATAAAATGTGTTTGCACTTTATTACACTTTTCTTTCTTTAATTGCTTTGTGTGACCTCTCAAGGTTCTTGTTGTGCTGGCCTTGAAGACGTTATTATAGGTGTAACATACGCTGGTCCACTTGTAAGTTTCTATAAAATCTCTAGTTCTTCTATCCCTTAAACTTGAAAGTTGTAGTTTGGTTAGCCGATCAGATTACTCATTGTTTTGTAGGGTTGGTGGTATTTTGATGACTCTCCTTTGTACTCTTTCTAGCAGTTTAATGTCTAACGAAGTATAGATTCTAAACGGTATGTGCAAATTCTATTTTTGGTATTATGTAAGTTATGCACAGTTTGAGGATCATATGGTCTTTAAAAGCTCTTTTGAAACGGTAAATGAGACTGTTGTCTTTGGTCACTATATTACCAATGTGCGTTTCTTATTTTAAGTCTTTAGATTTGATTACACCAAGATTATTTTGTGTTTCGACTGGAGTTTTTGTGTTTGTATCTATGTGTATGGGGATTATTTGGACCAATGTGCAATACTGTACACTTATTTATGTTGAGGGGCAGTAGTCGTTGCTGGGACCAGATTCCTAGAGAGCTTTCCGATAGCTTGCAGTAGATCTTTCTGACGTCTGCATAAAAGTTGGCCTTGGACTCTGTGATTTTGCATAAATCGCTGATGTATAAAATAAATAATAGGGGACCCAAGACCCGAACCTTGTGGTATTCCATTTTCTACTGGATGGTTGTTTGACAACTGTTCATTTATTTTTACGCAGAACTGAAGATTAAATAATAAACTCAATCTACAATAATAGATTGCATCTTATTACAAAGTGTTCCAGTTTGCTAAGCAATCTTCTATGTCTTTATCAAAAGCTTTCTCATAATTTAGATATATTACATCAATTGGCTGGTTGTTTTCATTCCAAGCTGTCCAGTAGTTAACTGCACTTTAGATTTATAACAACATATATTTTTGCCGTAAATCCATGTTGATTCCAATTAATAAGGGATTGTAAGTCATTATTAAAATTCTAATTATTTCTAAAACATTTAAATTTCTCGATTTTCTTGGGAACTTTTATAATCAAGTTGCAAAATGTAAGTTGATGATCGGTTACAGAAGCAAATCAACATGCTTAACATCATTGATAATTAAATTAAGATTAGTAATACAGACAATATCCAATAGAGTGGATGATGTCATATATTATGATTCGCCAAGCTTTTTATCAATTGATTTTAACATGTAGTCGAAGATTTATAAGAATCTTTGTTACTTGATATTGCCAGATATCCAGGAATATTCCAGCAAATGATCTTATACCTTAACTAATAGTGTTTTTGTTAATTTTGAGTATATACTTTTAAAGTTAATAGGTGTGTGGGTTAGAAATACTTTTTGATTCAGGTATTTATAGGAATTAAACATAAATACTACACGATAAAAAAAAAATATTAAAATTATACACTTTTTAAATACATTTTCTAAATGAATTTTGTTGATAAATGATGGGAATTTAATCAATTGTTATTATTTACACCATAAACACATGTAAAAAAATGTATTTAAAAGATATACACTTTAAGGCGGTGATGCGTTTTTTTGTCACTTAGTATTATTGGTAGAGTATAAAGAATTATGATTTAAATTAATGATGTTTCATAAAAACATTGACTGTTTATTTTATATAGCGCTGGTTGAGACTGCTTTATCTTTATTTTTGTTGTTTTTATCATATGTTATTTACAAGTTTATTTACACAAGGAGTGTTGTTTCAAATTTTGTTAATAGATTGTTTTAAATCGTCCCTTAAAACTAAGTGCCTTAAAGTAGATATAACGGTTGACCGAAAGTCTTCCCTATACCTGAATTTCTATTGAATGTTTGAGATTATATAATGTCACTTGTGAAATAATTATTTTATGTTACCCGTTGTTATATAAAGGGTTTATTATATATTTTACAGATAGGTATAGCAATAAATAGACAAAATGTATATTTTATATAAAGTTGATATTTCAAAAATATTTTAAAGATATATTTTTATGAGTTTTCTGAATGACTCATTCGTTTGAAATTCAATATTATTCAAAAAAAATTATGCAAAGTGTTTTTAAAATACATGAAAATTGATTAATATTTGAATTTTCTCAAGCGCACAAAAATAATTTTTAAATATACTCATTAAAAAAAGGTCGTAGTAATTTCTATTGGATCACCCAGTACATGTATCTTAAACACATTCTGTATAACTAGTCATATTGCTTATTTTGAAAGTATATTTTGTTAAGTAGTTGTATGGAAATAATAAAAATGTACATTTTTAAATGGATTTTTATTGATCATAGTCTACTTCAGAGAAACATTGAATTTGGGAATAAAAAATTGAAAACAGGTAAGTGTGTCGAAACAAACAAAAATTTCATGCACTGACATCTTTCAGGGAAGCCATTGCAAAAAAAAACGAATAAAATGAAAACAAAAAATTCAAAAGTTCGCCCTAAACAGAAGAGGGGTATTAGGAAAATGAAATGTCTCATGGAAATATAAATAAACAAAAAAAAAACCAATGGAAAAAAAAGACTGGAGTTCGGCTCTTGGGTCTCGAGTAGAGATATTGTATTGGGCCAAAATTGTATGGATGTATTTTCCCATAAAAATAAAAATCTGATGTGTCCAACACATGACTTTCCTATCTAGTTATTACAGGCTTTTCCGGTTATTTTGTACAACCTATTGCAGCACCTCTATAAATGTTTAGAGGATAAACTAAATATATACATTTTCCACATACATCTACCTCGAAACATTTTTCTATAGATATTCATTGAAAACGAAAATACTAAAAAATTTAAATTTAGCACTTTTCCTACAATTTTTTCATTACGGTCCATTTTAGAAAAATCATGTATAAACAAAAATTATAGAGATCGATATCGCAAACAACTTTTATTTTAACAATTTTCATAAAAATCAGAATTTTGCACATTTTGTCAAATTTCTCGAATACGGACCATTTCAGGAAATTTTGACATAAAACACAAATTATAGATAATAATATTAGAAGTAACTTTTATTTGAACTATTTTTTCCCCAAACGTAAATAACAGATAATGGAAAAATTGTAGGAAAAGTGCTAAATTTAATTTTTTAGTATTTTCGTTTTCAATGAATATCTATAGAAAAACGTTTCGAGGTAGATGTATGTGGAAAATGTATATATTTAGTTTATCCTCTAAACATTTATTAAGGTGCTGCAATAGGTTGTACAAAATAACCGGAAAAAGCCTGTAATAACTAGATAGGAAAGTCATGTGTTGGACACATCAGATTTTTTACATAACTAACAGATATATTCTATATAGTAAAAAAAGGACCTATACCTCCAGATGTTCCGACTATGCTCAAAAGGTAATCATTTCACTGCAGGATGGTTTAAAGCTTAAATTTAAAATTAAGTGTTTTTCTCTGTATTTGTTCATAATTTATCGAGTATACACACACAGATATCATCGCGAAAATAGTCAAAACGGGTTAAGGGGACCCCAAAACGTAAAAATTCATGAGTCCTATACTTTTATTATCTGTAAACAGGAAAGTAAAAAATAAAAAAATTAAAATTTTGGTTTTGTATGTAGAAAAAATGGAACTTCATTTTTGAGAGTGACACGTCGTCCATATCAGCCAGGTGGTGGAGAGAGGCGGGATTTTTTAATGCGATTTTTAAATTTATGGGAAAATACATCCATATCCTAGCCTCAAGTGCCGAACCACAACTAAGATTGGTTATAAAATTCAGAGAAGACCATGTATATTTCTACGAAGCTCTAATCTAATTATTATTAATGTATTTAACTGCTCTAATTTCAGAAACAACTCTTTGGTAATTTGTAATTTATGTCAGTATAAGAAACCGTAAATAATACACTACGAAATGAGTTTTTTTTGTGGATGGCAAAGGCTGTCATAGTTGTCCAAAATTTCAATGCGAGGTTACTGGAAAAATGTATACAAATTATTTCACCCTATATAATAGTTCAGAAATGAATTAGCCAATGGAAAGTAAAACAGGTTTAAAAAACAAATTATATTAAAGTGCCAATGTCTGTGCCGCGATCTCAGGATAGAGAAAGCCAAAACCTTATCGGACTCGGATATAAACTAGGGACACTTAGAGAAGCAAAATAACACCAAAATCATGGACCTACTTCTGTGGTTCCCGAGATATAGTATTCGGCCGAAAATTTAAATGAGCGAAATCGCCTAGATGTCAAAGATTACAAATTGCGGTCTACTATATTAAATTGCCAATGTTTGTGAAATTACCGTTGTTTATCAATATTCTTCAATCAATCAACTCAAAGTAATTTTCAATCCTATGAGAGCTTCGTGGATTCGTAATATAGTATTGAAACAGATACTAGATCCACAGTCCCAAATAGATGAACCCGGCCAAGAAGAATTTGCAGAACGTTATTTAGATGTAAATTATGATATATTTAATGACATATATACATATACATTTTTTCAAACTTCTTAAACTTTTAATTTGCTATTCAAATGATACACGCGGCGCTCCCCGCCTTGTGTAACTTTTGAAATCTTTTTTAAAATTTGAAGCGTCGGAGACGGTTCTAACATTTTAATTACTGGTTTGAAACACGACATTTGGAAAATTGTAGGAAATATACAACTTTGCTTTTCCATTTAATGCATTTCAAACCTTATTGGTTAGTTTTTTTATCCGTATAAATTACTTAGTTGCAACGGCTGAGTGAGATGGATTGTTTCAATAAAGAGACAAAAGATAGTATTACTATTTTTACGTTTTTTGTATAATTCAGACTGCATTCGACTGTATAGTTAAATGTTTTTAATTCGTGTTACACGTTGGCCTTGCAATTTGCTGTTACAAACTTTCATTGCATTTCAAAAGGTGGATATAATTGATATGCGCCAGGGCTTGCTTCTGTTCATAAGTGTTTAAATCCAGACGAATTTGTATTTAAACAGGTTTGTTTCAACGAATAACTTTTGGACCATCCTCTGAACGTCAAAACTATTTAAACCAATTCAATGCGCATGTGCTAATTTTGTACAGATTTTAGATGATACGAAAATATACGCGAATTGGATAGAACTTATAGGAAAAATGAAAAACAAAATTATATTTTGAAACATCTATTTATTGGATAAAAAAGTAATTTTGTACCACAACAGGTATAAAAAATTTTAAATTCTGAAGAAAAACTATACAATAATTTTACTTCTCAGATAGAGCTTACAAAACTAAGCCCTAAAATTAATAAAATATAATATATACTAGGCAATTTCTATACCTACTATTATGCAAATTATTAACGAACAACATTTTGCACCGCTTTGGCAAACATTCGAGCATTGAAAGATTAATTTTGTTTTTAATAACACCATCGTCCAAATGCAGAGTCCTCAACAATATCAGTATCACAGGTTATCTGGTAAAACAACAAAATGTAATGGAAAATTACCTTTATTAATGACTTATGACAATTTGATTCGGTCAACTACATCAGTGGTTTTATTTTGAGGTTACATTAATTTGTGTTCTAATGACAATTTTAATTTTGAAAATTTCCCTACGTCTTTATTATTTAGGGGAGGTTTTTATTTTATTTTTGCTTATACAGGGGGTTTGACAGTCTAAAATCATTGAACGTTTGCTAAAGTGTAATCTAAACCCGTGGCATCGTTGAAGACTCATTATGGAACTGTTTTCGATTGTTAGCCCTATTATTTGCAAAATAACAATGTTAAAACAATCATAAAACAAGAAAACACCAGATATAATTATTTTAAAGGCGTTTATTCTAGACACATCTTCACACTTTTCACGTTGTACACTCTTTCATGCATGGAAATTAAAATATAACAAAATCTAACTATTTACAATTCTAATAATAATCATCTACTAGTAAAAAGTATCTAAAAAAAAATACACAAAATTGATAAATAATTTTTTTGCTATATACAGAACATATAAAAAAACAAGCTTATACAGGGTGTTATTGAAATACACGTACATATTAAAACTGGGTATTGCGCAGATCCCCACTGAATGTAGAAAAATATTATTTTTTAAAAATACCCCTTATTAAGGGAGTTATTAATTTTTGAAAATTAATTCTAAAACAAACGTACTTCACTGATATGTTGAGGATGACCTATATAAATTAGGTTTATTTACCTATTTTAAACATTAACAGTAATTAATATGCAAGTTTTTGTCAGATGATAAGAAAACTAGTCTTGTAAGAAATAACCATGTTGCCAAGATTTTCGAATTAATTTCTATTTCCGAAGACTGGTTTTTACTACCCTCGTTATCAAAAAACTAGAATATTTGATAAATGATTGTTTTTAAACTATACATTTTTGAAACTATAGATTATTAAAATTTTAGTTGATTTACGAATCTGGCTAACACGAGCGCGTCATTTCCAAGTTGGTAAAAAGTGTTGTTACGATTACTTTTAAATATTTTTTTACGATGCCACTATTTACGAATATTGAACTAACGGATATAGTGCTGGTTTATGGGGCAGCTGGAGAAAATTCTCGGCAAGCACAAATCCTGTATCGCGAACGGTTTCCAAATCGGAGAATTCCGGACTGTCGTACGTTTATTTCAACTGTTCAGCATCTCATGGAAAATTTGAGAGTGTCAATGCAGATCGAGGGAGAACAAGAACACAAAGAACATTGGCGGCCGAAGAAGAAATATTAGAAGCTGTTGAAAACCGGCCTCAATTAAGTTGTAGAAGACTAGGTCTTGAAATTGGAGTGTCCTCATTTGTTGTGTGGCGGACACTTAAAGAACAAGGTTTACATCCTTATCACATCCAAAAAGTCCAGGCCTTATATCCAGGTGATGAAGAAAAGAGAGTGGAGTTTTGTGAATGGATGATTCAAAAATGTGTTGATATTCCTGATTTTCTAAAAATATTATTGTATACTGACGAGGCTTCATTCACTCGTGATGGCGTGTTCAATATGCACAATACGCATATTTGGAGTGATGAAAATCCTCACGCCATTAGGGAAACTGGGCATCAAAGAAAATTTTCAATAAATGTTTGGGCTGGCATAATAGATCAGTTTTTAATCGGGCCTTATGTTCTCCCGAACAGATTAAATGGGCCAGGATATCTCCACTTTTTAGAAGATATTTTGCCAGTACTCCTAGAAGAGATACCGTTACAATTAAGGCAACGGATGTGGTACCTACTAGATGGCGCTCCTCCTCACTTTGATTTAAACGTACGGCAGTTTTTGAACATTAGATTTCCTTAAAAGTGGATAGGCAGAAATGGACCTACTAAGTGGCCTCCGAGATCTCCGGTCTTAAATCCATGCGATTTCTTTTTGTAGGGTCACATGAAACAACTGGTTTATAATGAACCTATTAATAGTGTTGAACAATTAACCAATAAAGTTAATGCGGTAGCCGAGGAACTACGACAAAATCCAAGACCAATTTCTAATGTTCAAAGTTCTT